AACCAGTGGAAATGGTCACGAACTAGAGCACAGCTGATTGCCGTATGATCGATGCCGCTCATGCCGCTGTCAACCCAAGCGCGAAACCCCCTAGATTATTAAAAAAAATACTTTACCAAAACAGCCACCCTTCGCCAAGAAAGCTGAGACATTCATCATCTCCTCCTAAAATCGTCGAAAAAAGGGCCGTCAACGCATATTTAGCCCGTAGAAGCGTGCGAGAATCGGCCAAGAAATTACGTCCCCTAGGGATTTTTTTCCCCCAAAGATTGGTAGACCTCTGGAACGGCAGCGAACTGTCAGAGCTGTTGGGTCAGTTCCAGTTGGCAACAGACCTTCATTGGTATCGCAACGAAAGAGTGTTTCGTAGGTCGTGCTTTGTCCTAACTCAATTGGTCGCACGAAGCATGAACTCTCACCACTCGTAACTCACAACATCCAGAGGACAAGTAGAAAAAAAAATAAATTGAAGATCTTGGTGTACTGACAGAGGGTGAGCCAACCGTGGGGCCATGGAGCCAACGGGAATCATTTGACCCACGAGAATTGACTCCGGGCTTGGTGGATCGTGCTTCTCTCGTCTGGTATTATTGAATCGGTGAGTCTATTAGTTGTTCGACCTTCAAGAATTCGTATGAACCCCTAGGAACCCAGGAAGCTCCCGTAAATTGTGTTTTTAAAAAGTCAATGTCCCAAAATAAAGACTGAAGAGTACAGAAAAAGCGAATGCACCATAATAGTCCAGGAGCTCTGATACACGGGACACCATATTGCCAGTAGATCTATTTTGTCATAGAAATTGATGGAATGCGGGTGTATAGGTGTGTGAATTTGCCTGACGTTTCCGCAAATTTTCATGACTGTGCGTTAGTCAGACGTTGAGAACTTGATGGACTCATTGACTCATTGAGTTAGTGGTGGTCTGAGTTAAATATTTGAGCTGCGAGGAACAATGACTGTCAATGAGAAATGAAACTCCCTACATGCGGAGTTTAGCATTATTTTCCTTTGTGTACTGTACATGGTTAATTCGCATGGGCTTGTGCAATATTCGATGTGGATTTGCCCATCCTAATACGGTGTCGCAACGATCCCTTCCTGCGCACACTCCCTTCGGGCTTTTCCAATGTTTCGAATTTTCATTGGAAAAATTCACAATGAAGTTATCGCTGTTTCTCGGGAGATTGTCCGAGGTTTTGTACGTGTTTAACACATTTTCTTCACATGAGAAAATTATTGAGAAATTATTGAGGGGATTATTTGGGATGCTTTCTTAGGATTCACTCAATACATTGAATTTTGAGGGAAAATAAATGAGGATTGATACACACGACCTGACCTACATTCATAGAAGAATCAGGCGTTTAATGCAACACGGTTTCGTACTTGAAACACGCCTCAAGCACATGTCGACACATGTGCCATCAGAGAGGACGATTTTTCCCTCTTTTATATTTTCTCATTGTGTGATTAATCATTACGATAATGTTGGTAATGGATGGAAGGAACAAGTGTGCACGAGAGCTTAAGATTTTTATTTATCATAATCGTCAAGACCTATGTCAATGGTTGCTTTTATCTGACGATTTCTGAAAGATTTCTTATCTGGGCTTTTATCTTTCAGTATATAGTATTTATTTTGAGTTTGGGGTGCAATTGGTGAGGGTAAATACTTACCTTCTCTGTGAGATGATAAACGATGGACTAATTGGAAGGCGGAAAAGGAATCGGGGAGGTGGAAATTGTAATGATCCGTTGGATTGTGTAACGCGTTTGGTATCAATTGCGCTATACTCAAGATTGAAAGCTCGCACACGTGTACAGCTTGGTTTATTCAAATGTGACGACACTTCCGGGTTTTCTATGTTGAAAAAAAAAAACTTGGAATATCGTGTGTCATGTTTCGAAACGATGGAACTGCCGTGGGCCATCGCCTTGAAAGCTAATTCCACATCCCCTTCCTATAGTTGGACTTGTCCTTTTGACTCGAGTCCAAAGAGCCCTGGCTATTTTATCTTTGCTCTTTTATCAGCAAAACGTGGAAGAATCGAATGATTTTTCATCGTTTAAATAATGGTGATAACCCGCGACTTCGGGGGAAATGAGAAAGGAAATTCTTGGGATAATTTTCCCAGCTGCGCTTGTCCATGTTTTTATTTTTCAATTCGATGTTTTTGAGAGAGGCCCTCTTCAATAGCGCACATTTCACTCCGAAAACATGTTTTGAAAAAAATGTCCATATCTCTCGTGGATTTCGAAATATCATTCGAAAACTCGATTAGTCTGAGTCGAGAGAGTCCACTTATTTTGAACGTTCAGTGTTAGAGGTAGTCACTAAAATTCTTCAACAGTTTTATCGGAAATGTCAAGGGAAATTTTTTCACTGCGTGTGAAAGATTTTTCAAGATTCTGAAGTTCCTATAACTGAGATGATTGCATCATTGACGTGACAATTTGAATTCAGTCCAACAAAGAGAACTCTGCGCACAGGGAAATGGTTTATTTGAGTCACGTTACGAGTTTTCTTATTTTAATTCACACCAAAATAAACGACTAATATTCCAATTAATTTTCTTCCCTGCTCTCTCTTGTCTTTTCTATATAACATATAAATCATTAGAATCTAATAAATTTTCATTAAATTTTATGAAAAATCTCCTAATATAAATGAATAATTCTTCTGTCAGTATCAGAAGTAATATAAGTATCATAGTAAGACAGTGATTTATCGACGATTCTATCATTTGTTAAATTGACAAAAGAATATTTTCTTCTATCAAGTAAATCCCCTTGAAATAAGTTTTATCCCTAAATACGGGAAATTGGGGCAAAATTGAAGATATGTGCCAAAAATTTATAACTAGAGCTTAAAAAAAATAACCCAAAAATTGTATTTTTCACTACATTAATTACATTTTTTCAACATTGTCAGGGAGAATAATTTTTTCAACAAAATACAATGATCTTTTTTATTTCCAATGAGCTTGTAATGATATTAAGAATATTCATATTCATTCGTCTTATTTTACAATTTCATTGCAATAATTAGCAATGAATATCAGCAATCGTTGAGAAAATAATACCGTCCTTAATACAACCTGATGGAAAATGAAGGCAATCATTTAATCTACTTGATGAAAATCTGAAAAATTGAGTGGCGCAAAGTGAATTTCCTTAGTAAGTTTTACTATAAATTTTTCTCCACGCAACTTCTGGGCAAATGGTGCATGGAGTTTGTGGTTTGACTGGGATTATGCACTTGGGTGTCGGTGTAGTGGGACATGCAGCACTTGCATAATATGGAGGTTAACCTAGATTGAACAAGCTCTAGAACTAGGCTTCCCTACCTTTCTCCCTTTACTAGCCCCTTCCCCTAATCGCCGCATTAAAAGAGAAAGACGAGGCAGGAAAACCTGTGTCGAGCCATGAAAAAACCAGGCCAATTCCCCTCCACTACATTCAGTTAAAAATCATTCCGATTTATTTACATTCGTCGATTCCCAACATAACTTCCTGCAGTATCCATTCTCCATTCGTTACGTAAATGAAAAGAAAAAAAACTGTGAACCACGGCCACTGCCGCTGTTTAATTCCGTGAGCCTTTGAATAATGGAAATGAAACCGCAGTGAAAGCCAAGGGAAAAGAGAGAGGAGGTGAGGAAAGAAAATTCTCGAGTGAAACCCAGCATTTTGCCACAGTGAAAGGACACGTGCTTAAGTAACACGTGTCGAACCCCATGCATTCATGAATTATCCATCTGTTATCGCTATGAAAATTTATAGGAAAAACGCCTCGTGTAGAAGTTTATGGATTTACTAATACTAATAAACTGATCATTTCTAATCGCAAAGGCCAGTGCAGATTTTGTTTCGTCATTCCTACAAATGTCTTCACTTCTAAATTTTTCTTTCTATATTTTAATCTTCATAAGTTTAATCAGCAATTCTACACCGTACACATTATTCGTCTAATGAAAATATCAATTCAATTCGAAGATTTCCGTTTTTGTCTCTATATTCAATTTATTTTCAATTTTAGTCTCCTCATAAGTAAATCAAAAGGAATCAATTTTCCATAGTAAAAATAGTAGAAAAATCCTTAATACGCAGAATCGACCAAACAAGGAGACACAAATTACTCAAAATTTGTTCGAAAAAAAATGTTAGCACAAAGAATAATAATAATAATAATAATAATAATAATAATAATAATAATAATAATAATAATAATAATAATCAACCAAGAGTATCTTTGTCGACTACAATCCACAAATAGTCTTCTGCAACTCTTCGTTGAAATTTACAAACGGAGATATGCCTGACAGACACGTGCAGAGGAGAGAGCACTGATGGTTGAATAAAAGACAGGGAGGGAGAAAAAACAAAATAAAACGTGCGCCTGCGCGAGACTGAGAATCAGCTGTTGGCGGCCATCTTGCAGGGCTCGTCCCAGCTGTGTAGGCACGATCGCTCAGCTGACCTCGCCCCCACCCCTCTCCTTCTTCCCCTCTACTACTCACTATCCGCGCCAATCAAATCAAGTCGTAAAAACTGGAGAGCCAGAGGTGCGTTTATCTCATTTTTCCTTTTTTTTTTCTGAAAATTCCAGTGAATCCCCTGGGGCTGGGTAGTCGTTACGGTATCTCGTTTGCGCCTAATCTCATCGACGATCGACCAAATTTTCCGTTACGAAAATAATAGTGTCTTTGACTCTTGGCAGAAGTGATTGGTCTCGCTTGGGGACTAATCGATAATCCTTGACACAATATCTCAAGCGTTTGGTGGACGCTTATACTCTTCTCTTTCCCTATTTGGTTGACACCCAGGACGAGGAGATCAGAACAAAGAGAATAATATGTCCTTGCGTTGTCGGTGAATCGTTAGTGCACGTTGCGTTGTGCGCACGAGTTGCGCAATAAAACGTGTGCAATGAGCACTGGCATTTTACGGTGGTGGTGACTTTGGCCGGGGAAGGGGAGGGGGAGGGTATTACCTTGTTAATAATTTTAGATCTGTGTTGTGGAATCAGCGAGGTGAATTAATTCAATCACATTATGGTGACGCGCTTTGTGCGCTCCTCTGAGTATGGATCTTTGGGTTTACTATCGGATTCTGTTGTCTATTTTTGTTGCAGATTTTGTATATATTTTTGTTTTTTTTTTATTTTCATATTGAAATTTTTATTGAATAAGTTGAAAATTCTCAGCAATGCCGGAGAGAATATTGGAGATTTTCCAAAGCTGTTGCTGGAAATCTTAGTGGAAACTTTTTAACACCCATTGACATGACAGATGGTTGTAAAAAATAATCTGTGAAGCCGCATGATCGGGATTTGATTAATAGTTAGGTCATTTGATGGATTGTTCAGTCCAACATTGATATTCAAGGGATCAATATTTCACGAGAGATATTCAAATAATTGCATTAATTGAACTACTAATCCCTCTTGTCTTTATTTCAGTGGGGAGATGTTAAAACGAGAGCGAATTTTCCACTTTTCAATATCAATTGCTTTGAAAAATTATTGACTTTAGGAAGAAGTATGGAAAAAATATTGTATGTTAAAGTTTTAAGCATCTACAGAAAAGCCCGCTGACATTTCCAACTCACATTAAAGATGGGAAAATTGCCATCAAGAGCTTTTGAATTAGCTTTATTGTGGATAAATGAAAAACGTTGGCTCGCTGTTTTCTACTTCCGGTGACTTCGTTAGTCAGCATTTTCTCGATTCGTCAGGAAATATATTATATCATTACATAATACAATTCCATTAGAGCTCCATTACACAGCATAATGAGAATCATTCTGAAAAATGCTCGGTACAAATGATTATCCAACCTTCAAGTTATTAATAAAAAATTATTTCTCAATTTGAAAGATGAAGTTATTCCCCTCATTACTATTTCAGACGCCCTGCCCACGTTCATTATTGAAAAATAAATGAGAATCAGTGAAAATTTAAGTACTAAATAATGAATTAATATTGCCATTCGTTTTTCTTTCATAAAAGAACTCAGTTTTATATATTCTGATATTAGCCAAAAAATAATGAAATTTTCGTGGTACGTGCAATAATGATATTCGTTGCAAATGAAACAATTTCAACTACCTATAAAAAATGAATTTTTTATTCATGTCTGAGGAGCTAAAGAATTAATAGTACAATTTTTCTTTGGCAAGAACAAGTGAAGAGATAGATGTGGAAAAATCTTTGATGGAGTTAATGGGTATTTAAAAAAGGAAATCGACAATGGTGATTGTTTTCATTCCCAGATATCTCGTAGCGGGTGATAAGCAAGTGGGGGACATGCTGGAGTTACGAAGAAGAATCAAGAGTGGGAGGAAAGAAGTCACTTGATGAGTCCATTCAATCAAACGCAATTAAACAACTGATTCGAGTTCTGGGCTCTCGTAAATTTCCACAAGATGGAACCCATGTATCTCGAACGGATAGTAGTCCCATCGATGCTGTAGAAATCCAGTGACAAACCGCATGGAGAACGGATTTAAAAGTATCGAGGAAGTCGTGCCATGCCGAGAGCTTGTGGAACCACATTTTTTTATTTCTAATTTATTGGTTACGAAAGTTTATGAAAAATTGCAAGTGCTCATGAAGATTTTTCTTTAGCTCTCAATGAAAAATGATGGAATTTTTCTTGGAGAAGGAAAAAATGGGGTTTGAGGATAATTGGTAGATGATTAATGAGAGGAGAGAAGCAGAGGTGTGAGGTGGGAGTTGAGGGCAAGGTGGGAGTGAGAGCAAGAGAGTGAGGGATTTAAATGGCCAGTGGGGTATCAAGTGGAACGCTGGGGACTGCAGGCCAACCACGTGAGCAGACTTGAGATACAGTATAAATAAAAACACAGGCTGGAGCGACGAATAAGAGGGATAAGACGTGAAAGAGGGAAGGCCTGGCGAATCGGGTACGAAATATTTGCGACGGTTAGTATAAATAACGTCTCAACAACTTACTATTACCGGATAGCCAAAACAATTTCGTATATCAAAACAATTTCCCTCATTACTCTCATTATTTTACTTATTACAAAACACATTTCCATTAATTATCCATTTATCTCGCAAGATATGGACTCGCTGACGAGACCATAAGGGACTCTTTTATAGTTCATTGAATTCCCGACAAAAAGATCTTTCCGTATTTCCTTGTGAAACCTGTAGGTTTTCCGATGAGGGATATTGGACGAGACTCGCCATTCCAAGTAATCTTACTTTATTACTTTGTTGCGGATTTTTTTTTTAATTAGACAATTAATTAAAGGGAAAGCAAGATTTCAGTGAGTCTCGGTTAATGGAGAAATGATGGAACCATCAAAAATTTGAAGGCGTAAGTTTTTCTGGTCTAAACTTTACAATATTTCCTCTAATCTCTCAGGGTATTCACAGAAGGGGAAGAAAAAAATCAACAATTCATCAACACTTATTTAGTGAAGAAATAATGAAATAATAATGAAGAAAGAATAACGAGAAAATAATGAGAAAGTTAAAAAATGAAGATTCTAACGGAAATTTTCTTTCGGTGCTCTAAAAGGTTTCTTCGAGGTTTTCAGCGGGATTTTCAAGAGGTGCAATTTTTAAAGTTCCGGATGAATGTTCTGATGAATAGGGGAGTCGTTGGGGATACGAGGTTTAATTGTAACGAAACGACATAAACGAGTGGATGAGCTGCGTAGCACTTTGGAGCGAGGTGGGCTGGGGGACGTTGAACTTGGCTCTTTGTGTCTGAGCCCCCGAGGTGAACGGTTCGAGAACCGTTTGCACGCCCTCGGGATAGCCAGGCCTTTTTTTTAGGGAGATGATTTTTCCAAGAGCAATAACTTAGATTTTCGCGTTTGATATTTGAAATGATGATGAGAGGGATATGCAGCACGTGTCACGTGTGGGCGAGACACGCGAGCCAATTTCAAATGGCCTTCAACGTTCTCGGTTTTGAAAATTCTAAGGCAACTGTGGCCTTTCCTTTTCAGGCTCTCTTTTATTTCTCGGATGGGGACTCGGTTGGGGATGAGAGTTTGTTCGATTCTCTTCGAATTACCAGTTGGGTTTTCAGCTTGGATTGGCTTTGTTAAAGTTTTCGTTTTCGTTTTCGTTTTCGTTTCCTTTCTTTTTCCATCGGTTTGCCTCGAAGAATTGATCCCTTTCAACAATTCTCTTGGTTGATCACTCGATACTTTTAGTAGTGGCAGTTGGAAATTTGGAGAAAATCCGGAGTCGAGGTATTCGGAGTATTGAAATTTGGGAAATCCCAGTTATGACCAATTGGCCAGTTGCACTGCACATTGCTTTTATCAACTCCCATGGACAATTGAAAAATGAGGAAAATTCGGGTCTGTCGCTCCAAAGTAACGATAATCGATACATAATTCTCCTCTTTTATTACATTGATTAATCTCAGAGCTAGCCATTCTATGAAGAAATATGGAAAGTTTCTCTGTCGAGAATTCAATCAGCTACAAAGTAGTCTTAATCTTTTCTTCTTGAGTTGATAGTTTTCAAGATAAAGCGATAAATTTATCTCACTTTATCATGACTTTGTCCATTGTTTTCAGATTAGTTTTGTGAGGTCTATTATGAAATATTAATTTCTCAAATAGTGGAATTGATTGTTTGTTGTGAGAATGGAATGAGAAGGTTTGACATGTCTGAAATAATTATTTTCTCTGTGTCCTTGTGAAAATAAAGACTTGGTAAATGTCGATTTGTTTGGCCCAAACTTATCCTTTGTTTTTCTTATCTGTCGATTTCACAGTTCCCTCTTTTTTTAGAAACGTAACAACATCGCGCAGACTCCCAGGACTTTTTGGAGCCGAATTTTAACGTCGAAATTGACTTTGCGCATGGCACGCACCCGTACACTCACCCCTGAACCCACTCTCCTCTCTTGGCTTTATTTATTTTTCTTCTCCATGGATTGAGAGAGGCTGGATGCCGCCGAACGTTCTTTATTCGAATACAACTGATCCCCCGTGCGCGATTCCCCATTCAAAGTATGTTTACTTCATTGGTATTAGACGGCATTCTTATCAATAACACTCCTGCAAAAGAGAAAATACAATTATTATCCCTACAATGATCCTGGTGAGACGATTCACTGAGTGTTGTCTCGGTAACATTCAAGGTGAAACAATGTGCTTTACAATGATGTTTTACAATTATACAATAATTGATTGAGCCGGAAGCCAAGTTCTAAAGTGAGGTATTAATTACCAATTCATCTCTAGGGCCATTGACTTACGGTGAAATGAGTACATTTTGAGATTTCACTCTAAAATCAAGTAATTCTTGAGATAATTCGCTATTTAACACCACAATGAAAAATTTATTTGTTACTGGACTAATTAATTATTCATTGATTTAGCAAATTTAAAAAATTATTTACTTGAGATAGCGTTATATACATGATTGCTTAGTGGGATATAATGAATAGAAAAATAAATATTAAAATGTCAAGGAAAGAATGAAAATGATTGATGGTAATGATTGATGATGTGAGTAACAAGAAATGTCTTCTGGTTGCAGAAATGCATTGTCTCGGAGCAATATCAGGGGCCGCAGGAGCGAGCATGTCGCCGCCATCGCAGAATGTAAATGGAAGTGTATTGAGTGTGATCCGAGCTCTAGGAGTCCTAGTGTGTGAGGGTAGAATCCAAGGTCCCCCACGTGGCTACAGAGAAGGTCCCCACTGTGCAGCACCCCTCCAGGCATCTCCCACCCAGCACACATGTGACAAGCAGCACTATCTGGTAACTAGCCAACCACCCCTTACTCCCCACCCCATCGCAGATCATAAACACAACATCACAAGCCCCTCATCACTGAAGATAAAGATAAACCCACAATCAACTCATCAGTCCCCAATCATCCTCAATCAATGCATGAAAATAAATTACAGTGCAACAGATACCTCGTCCTGGTGAAGGAGATTATCGAGAGGGTGTCAATTGGATCGAGCTTGTGCATCGAGGTGGTGATGTGCAATGACTGTCCCTGTGGTTTATCAACAGCTACCAGTACAAACCCAGTATCACCAATACCGTCCACTCTTATTCACCAATGGCCAAATACTGAGATGCTGTTGGAGTACTGGTGCATTGGCGTTGTGCCAAGTAAAAATTCAGAGATGATGAATTCACAGGGTTTGTATCAGGCTGTACGTTCGCGTCTGCACTTCAGCCAGGTTGCTGCCTGGTGGTCCAGGAGCAATGGATCAAGGCCAACTTACGTGGCGACCAGGGTCGTACCGTATAATTCTGACAATCTACGTAAATTTCGTGATGCACCAGTGGAGCACACCTTTCCACTGGCATCAATTGGTGATGGGAATTCAGTGAAAGTTTCTGTTTGGGCTCTGCCTCGTATGGAGGACATACCTGACCTCAAGTGTCCACTCCATCCGAGTGGAGAGACCAAGGAGGAGACTGCCAGGGCACTTACACCAACTAAAACCACTGTGGCTCATCCTGACCATACTCTGGTCCTCCCTGCTCTGCTCGACGACAGACTCCACACACCGTGTAATAAACCTGGCAAGCATCACTGCAGGTGTGAGGAGGAGGAGACCAGTCCACCATCGCCTTCCATCAAGAATGGAGAGAGGAAGAGGAGGAGATCACTGCCCTGCGGACCTCCGGATACTCAGGCTAATGCACAGCCACTGGCTTCTGTCAGTGAAGTTACTACTGGACCTTCTGGGGGTGAGGAGGGGGGCTTTGAGAGAAGTTTTGGGGGGAATGGCAGTTTGGAGAAGTACTTTTGGACTCAGGTTAGCTTGGACGAGCCTGATGGCAATATTGAAAAGCGGTATAAACCGTCTGCTGAGGGCTCAAATATCGATCTCAAAGCAGATAAAGGTGAGGACTTTTATCAATTTGTATTTCCTTCAAATAATTGAAATAATTATGGTATATAGGGTATATAGTAGGGTATAAGTATAGGGTATTTGAAGAATTTGCCGATGATGAAAAAAGTCATTTCTGCCAATTAAATTTTTTAATAAAATTTTTTTAAAAATATATCTGGATAAAAATTGGTTCAATGTCTATTTTCTCCTAAAATCAATAGCGGTTTAGATCAGTCGATGTTTAACAAAACTAGAGAATAGAATGAATATTGAACAGCATCTTCCCAAATTTTTCTAGGAGTCAGCCCTCACCGGAAGGACCTAAAACCCCAATCATTCGTGCCTTTAGACCCCAAGGAACTCCACAAATCTTCACCACATCGTTCTCCACTCTCCTCCTTGCCAAATCTCGTGATAAATCCATTCTCGGAACGCAGCTCCTTTCACGAGCCAAACCCTGGCCCCTCGACGTTAAGAAAGGACCTCCCCTCACTCCCGTGCACAGTTCACCTGAACTACTCTTCCTCCTTTCGAAAGCCAGAACGCGTCTACTACAGTGTAGACAGAGCCAAAGCCCCCTCAGACCTCACTCACCTGATGTCCAAGCTTTCCTTCCCCAAGGAACCCACGAAGACCTCAAAAGAAGATGGTGGTATTCTCGACTGGATCACCAGAGTACCAGGGAGAGTTCTCAATCCAACTCCCATCCCCTCAGTCTCAGATAAACCCCAGGAGATGAGTCCACCTTCTCAACATGATAATGGAAGGGCCTGCAGCGCAGTTAAACTGAAAAACTGCAATTTGGAGTTGAGCCAGCGTGAATTCGACGAGGTACTCGCTGTACTGCGAGCCAGAACTCCCTCTGGTAGACGTCGAACCCCAGTGAAGACGCTCCGTCGTCGTGAGAGACTAGAACGTACCCTCGATGATGGATATTGTGATAAGAGTGAGGGCTGTATGTGTCCGATTCACAAATATATGGAGGGCACATCGAATGCTGGTGAAAATTGCGAGTGTCGATCTTGTCGAAAATCGATGATAAATGAGGATGTTAAAATCGGGAGATCGAGGGAAAAGTGTCTTGAGAGTGTATCAAATAAAGCTGATGTTCTGCTTGGGGCGATATTGAGGACCAGTGGGGACAGAAAGAGATTGGTGGACATATCGAATGGAACTAGGCCACGAGCTTCTTCCAGCCATCTCAAGGACATCATCTCTGAAGAGCAAGTGATAACGACTGATGTCAGGTCGCAGAGGCCACGAATGGAGGAGGAAAAGTCTCTACCTATGGCTCTGAACAGACGACTCCAGAGGATCCAGCAGCTCTTCCGGAAGGTGCAGGAGAAGAAGAACTCGATTGAGATGGCCAGTGGGTTTCAGGAGATCATAAATCAGTCGAGATTTGCACAGAAGAGAGACAAGGGAGACAAGGAGGAGAAGGAGGACAAGCGAGAAGTGAAGGAAAAGAAGGAAGAGAAGGAGAGTGGGCGAGTAGGGGTTGATTTGGAGGGAAAGCCGGAGCACATAATGGATGATGAGCCTGGATCAGGTGACAGTGCATTTTCGAATAGTACAAATTACGTATTTAGAGACTTTAGTAATCACCATGAAGCCTCGGAGAGAGCTATATCTTCCACGGTTGGGGCGGAGGAGGAGGACGACGTCGAGGAGGAGATCAGAAAAATTCAGGACACCAGGGGGGAAGAGGAGGGGTGCGAGAGCAGGGTCCCTTCGGCATTCGAACAGGAGAGGTTCAGGAGGTCTCTGGAGAATGCTGCATCCATGGTTTTTCACAGTAGAACTGGCCTCCCATTGACCTCAAGTCCAGCTCCACTCAGGCGGGGAAGCTGTTGCTTCGATTATGACAGTAGCTTGAATACTGTATCGTCGAAGAGGAGTGCCCTTTTTGAGCTCAATACACCACCCAGTCCCGGAGCTGTCTCATTGGAGGAGACTGATCGTGAGATTGATCACTCTGGGGAGGGATACGAGCAGCCTAAGAGGTCACCATCTACTAGGAACAGACCACAGAGCCATGCACTTCTTGGGAGTTTCGAAGAGTCAGCTCTCAATGGGAGGCTCGAGCCTGTTTCCACTGTTCATGGGTTTACAGCTGAGATTGGAGCCAGTGGTTCTTTCTGTCCCAAACATCGAAAACTTCCTGTTACTGTGTTTTTTTATACACTCGGGGACAATGATAAAGTCTCGAGTCCATATCTTGTGAGTTTTTATTTATTTATTTGCAAAGTAGGATAAGGGGATTAGGGCTTAGCCACAATTATTGATATTGAATATTCAATCTTGTAAGCGAGCAGAGACAGCGTAATTTTGATGCAAATATTTTTCTTTAGATTACATATTGCTCTACAAAAAACATATATCAAAATACATGTATCAAAATAAACATATTAGTTCATTTCTCTTGATTTACAAAATATCCTCGGTGATATGCATTTTTCCTACTTTACCAATTCACTATAAATATAGCTTTGCAATTAATTAAATTATTGATCGGCATGTTTTAGGCTCATATTAATCTGGGGAAGAAGGGCTATCAGGTGCCTAGGAGTGGTACCATCCAAGTGACGTTACTGAATCCTCTTGGGACTGTTGTTAAGATGTTTGTTGTACTCTATGATTTGTCTGACATGCCACCACGATCTCATACTTTTTTGAGACAGAGGACTTTGAGGGATAAGTCACTCCGCTACCTCATACATCTTAGGTGAATTTATTCACTTGAAAGATTAATTTATTTTCCAAATGCTATAAGAAATTTTTGTCTGAATTTACCTGTTTGCTTGTTAATTTTCGTTTTTCGGATTACCTAAATTGAAAGTGAGCCATTTTTTCTCAACTACCTACTTCGGAAAAAATGATTTCATATTTTGTTGAATTTTCAGATTTATGTCTGGTAAATCGGGACGTGTCTACCTCCACACGGACATAAGAATGATAATCTGTCACAAGTCAGACGTGGACACAGCATCCGATTTTGGCTCAGAACCCCCGAAGGAGTACAGGAGTTACATTCATGGTCCTACGAATCCTAAATTCTCTCCGAGGTGCTGAGCCTCGTGGTTATTCCCGTGGGGTTGTTGCCAACCGTTTCGCCTATCTAGTCCTCCCCTCAGCGTCGAAGTATGATAAAATATCAGAGCACAATGGAGATGAAATTTAAAAAACATACCAGCAGCTATGATTGAGTTGTCTGAATCGATTGTAGTCAATAATTGCCATTGTCAATTGCAGGAGTTTGAGGCGGGTGAGGGAAAAACGTTGGATGAACCGGAGTCTTTTGAAAAATCAGCTGTCAAATTGTGGGAAAAAATTGTCCAGGCGAGATGTTACTGCCATGGGTAGTACTGAACGAGTGAAAAAGAAAAATTAAACACGTGATATAAAATAATGGGAATCCAAAGGATGGCATCGAACGATCAAAGGTGATTTTAATTCGTTTGTCGAGTGATAAAATGTCATAAATCATTCATCACATATTCAACACTAGTTGAGAATTTATTGGTCTCTTCTATCACTCAACTACCGAATTCTCTTTAACGTAAATTTATTTTTATTTCACTCTGTTCGAGAATGGAAGTTAAACTCGAACGATTGAGTGGCAAAAGGCGTGATATTTTGGGATATAACTATTTTTGGAAAAAAAAAAACAAAAACAAAAAATTATAAATTGGAGTCAAAAAATTGTGATGCATTCGTGGTTTCCCATCAGCGAAGACAGACGGGACAGAGAATTATATTATTTACACGTTTAATGGAGATAATGATGATAAATAACAGAACACATTTTTGTGTCCGTAGCACTGTGATGAATATTATGTAGATTAAAGATACAGACTAAGGAGAAAAAATATATTTGCGCTGTAGATATTTCGTAAGGTGTATCTTCTATTGTGCTAATTACTGTTTCGGTACAGAGTGAATATCATAATCGACTGGGTGGTAATTATTTTAAGGGGCAGGAGATTTAAAACTTGGGAGGATGTCGTTTTTATTGGAGTTCAGTGATAAAGGGTAAAATCATAATTTCAGTAGCGAAGCGGTAAAGTGAGATAAGTACAATTTTACAATTTTGTTAAATATCGATCAATCCGAAAAATCTTTTGAACTTAATTGAAGTAATAAGGATAGATTTATTAAATTCGATGTAATCAATTTATTACCCTTGGCCACTTTACTCCAGTATTGACTTCAAATGTTTCATTCAATTAGATTCCAACGCAGAACAGAACAAACGAAATATTGAATCATTGATTAATGAATTAATAGTTGAATTGTTGCTCATATCTATTTGAGGGTTTCAGTATGCCTTAGATTGTTAAAAAGTAAACTCAATATTTCAATAGCGAATTGACTCCGGCTGCTGAAATGATAATCTCCTTCATCAGTGGATACTTTCAACTATTGATTTGTAAGTTAACGGGTAGTTATGTATTTTATTTTCGATGAATTAAGCTTCAATGGCAGTGGAATAAACATCACTTGTGTAAGCGATCGAGGTTTAACGTAGATGAGGCAATGAAATTAAATAATGATTAATGTAATTGATGAAAATTTAATTCGATTATCGGTAGCTGCGTCGTTATAACGATGAGAAAAGTGTAGATAAATGGAATGATTAGTGTGCATAATCACTGCCATGCTGTATTATATTTTATAGCATAGGTCACACGTTCCAGTTGACGGAAAAAATATGTGGGATAAAGTTCAGAGGTGAATAAACAAATTTAATGATACGTCTCGTTAACGCCTGGTCGAGCTCTCAAAATAGAAATAGGAGAATTCGATGAATCTGTGTAAACGAGTAGGATGGATTATTGCTACGAAGTGGATGAGCCTAAATTGTGAATTTAATCCAGAGTTTTTTGGGAATAACTCCTCAAGTCTTTTTGCGGTTTGAGAAAATTCCTTAGGAATAGCTCTTACTCTGAAACATCGACTTTGTTGAGAGATTTGCAAATTTATTTGGATGAAGCTCTTCAATTTCTGGCCTTGGTCTTTCCGCTGTATATTTAATTCACTCCAGAAATCTCAATTCTAATTTTAATCTCAGCGACAGTTTGAGGGTCATGGTCAAGACCACGTATTCACAATCAAAAGGAAGTAACGATGTATGAGAACCGAATGGTTGTATCTCAAATTGAATAATTAATTAGGTAGGTTTTCGGATCTCAAATAGATATTGTGATATAAAAAATTCTTCGTGTCTGGCGTGATGTAGAAGTAGTTGATAACAATCGACTCCTTATTTTTTATTAAGAAATACATGATATATATTTTCGTGGAAGCATATAAGTGGTGCCAAAATTTGCTAATTCTTTTTCTTTTTTGGTCTTGAAAAATTGGTGTTTCTTATTTGGCTTAAAGGAAGAGGAAAGTGGGGTAAAATGAATCTTTGGATTGATGAGATCATTAGAGACAACGAAATTTATCGAAAGTTATTGCAAGACCGGAACGAGAATTTTAAAGGCTAAATCAATAGCTTTCCAGATGAATGCAAAATTAGGGAAAATTTCACGACATGCAAATTGACTCATTGAAGTCCAGTCCATTTTGCCTCTCAATTCCCTCTGCGTACGAATCATTGCTTCTTATAAATCCAATGAATTATTTGTTGAATGTGTAGTGATCATTGCGAAACATGGTAAATCAGCTTTAAATGCAATCGTTTACCTTTCATTAACAATTCACGTCGAACTTGTTTTTAAAATAAGTGATAATTTGAGGTAACAAAAAGCAAGTATGAGTTGCGTGTGGGTCGTCATTATGTAGAACCATCGATCTTTCATCCCTGAAAATAAAAAAATAAACAGTGAAATAAAGAAGTGTGATGAACAACCGGGGAAAAGAAAAAAACGTCCAGATTCAGGCGCAACGAACTGTTTATTGATTATATATATTTTGTTCTGCTTTGTTGTGAATTTTTACCAATTGGCCGAATTCGTTCGATTTCATGAAACACTGCAGTGTTCGAGACCAGGCATCTTGTACATAGAGCAGCATTATTTTATAAATAAACTATTGTTATCACGATTCCTCCGTTTATTTACTCAAAGGTCTTCACTCATTTGAATAGTTCAAACGACATAAACGAAATTTTCATTTTTTGGTGGATTTCATTATAAGGTGTAGGGAAAAATCTAAGAAATCAATTTTAAATTGATATTTTTATTTATATTGATCAATACGATTGTATCACTCATGTGTCACCACTTGATAAAAACAAATATCCTCATGCATTCATTTTCATAATCACAATCTTTTCGTAAATTCAGTACAATTTAATTCTGATATTTATTTCGATATTATGCAATTTTCATCTTCAATATTAAAGCTAAAAAACGACAATTATTCTCTTTCCTCTATTATTACCTTTTCACCATAGTTTGATGTATAAATGACAAAGACATGACAATTGAATCATCGAGTACTTGGTGCAGTGAATCACTCGCACACGTGTCCTTTGTCCTTCTCCCAATATGCCATAAATAATGACTCACCTCATTTAAATCAGTTCGGCTGATTTAGAGGGAAAATGTAATGAGTTTTCACAATTTCGAAGTACTAGAGCGAGATTTCTCAAATCCTCAATATCGATCATATATATATGGTTAAAAATAAATAATTATTATAAAAATTTCGTGGAAAACAACAGCCCAAGGCCTTCAATTTTTGGTCTGCAAACTTTTTTTCTTTACTTGAGATGCATCAAATAATAGTTAGGTGTCAGTTTTTCGGAATTCGACTGTACTACAGCTATTTTCATTGTTTTTTTTTAACAGAAAATTTCACTATTCATGCAAAATAGCCGGACAAATGAATCTCTAATAATTATATCTATCATTTATATACTGTAAGTATTTACAGAGCTACTTTTCTGGCCGAATCGAACAAATAATATAAATATAAAAGAAAAAAGGGGAATTAGCCAGGTATTCAGTCTATTTTTCCACGAATTTATTCCGTTGTGAAATGAAACATAAACAAATATTTTCCGACTAATTGTTATCAATTGGGAAATCTTATTTTAATAGTTCACGGCTTTTGAAACTCGGTCATCTCCTCTAATATGATAAATAATCACAGTTTTGAATTTTTGTAATTTTCTCAGATCTGAGATTTCACGAAAATTATTTTTTTTCAATCAATTCCGCCGTAAAAGTACACATTATCTCAAGAAATTGCTCGATGGTCACGTCAAATTAAAAATTCTTGAATGAAAACACTCGTTTTAAAAAGCGCAGAGCTGTAAAGAAAAATATCGTAAGATCAGTGATACGAATCGTCAGTGATTTCCTCAGAGAATTAAAAGAAAATTCGACTTGCTTGAACTGGACAGTGGAAAAGAAAAGCAAGATAAATAGAATATGATTGCAATGTGAATGAATCAATGTTGTTCCGAGCTGTCTGGGTTGTGCTAGCAGGGTCTGGCGAGGGTTTTCACGTTTTTGGGGCTCATGCTGAGCTGCCTGGTGGCCATTCCGGTGCCACAGGAGCTACTCCAGTCAGCAGTCGGCAGGGGAGTTCGGTAGAACTTGGTTGAAGTCTTGTTGAATATCGGTAATAGCTCGTTAGCTTCATTCGAAAGCGCCTGGACAACGCAAAAACAGAATCTCTCAAAATTTTTATAAAAAATAACATTTTCAATCTCAACTTCTATTTATCCATAATTTCCACGAAAACTTTCATTTTCGCTATAACTCTGAGGGCCCGTCTAGAATCTTTGAGCGAGGAAAGTTACTTTTTGCCATAATCTTATTTTTACTCCAGCCAATACAACAATTATTTCCAGAAAATTTCAATAACATTTCAATAATATTTTGTCCATTAATATTCAAGGGTGTTAATGATTTTACAGATACTCGCCACGTAGACGATAGCAAGATTGTGACTCCTTTTAAAAGTTTACAAAAAACGCAGAGAAATGTTCGCACCACTTTGCAACTTGGTGAATCATTAAATAATGACAAAACGGAAAGACGCTATATTTTTTTGCGTTAATCCCTTAGTAAGTTTGCCAGAAAATTGAAAAAAAAAGTTAATTTTGGCTATATATGGGTGTAGAACAACACCCTCAATTGTCAACTCCACAATTTACCTTGAGATAAATCACAGCATCCGTGCCATAGCCCTCGCAACTCAGAACAACGAGGTCTCCATGGAAATACCTTGCGTACAATCTTGATAATGGAAGCCCATAACCATAACCAGCCAGGGGCACAGTGTGTGCATCAGATTTGCTGGGTTGCGGGGCAGTGCTATACATGTATTTAAACAGGTGATCCATCTGAGAACGTGGAATGCCTCCCCCTTGATCTGACATCTGTAATAATGCCATTAACCCAATTAGCTCACAATTCACTATGGACTCTCATTTAGTTTCACCTTCAGACAAATATCCTCCTTGCCCCTGACCAGAGTTACTTCCACGGGTGGATAATCCGCATCTGAACCATGATGTTCCATCACTGCTCTCATGCTGTTTTTAAAGAGTTCGAAGAGCATGTGATAAAGGTGACTGGGAACGTAAACTATCCTTATCTCGTTTCCGCGATCGAGCTCTACAGATAGCAAAGTCATAAAAAGTATTAAAAAATTATCTTCATGGATTTTTTCAACAATTCCATCTTCGCAAATTCATTTGGTAACCTATCCAGAGAGATGAATCCAACTTCACATTCTTTAATTATTCATTTACCTTCCAAGCTATTAATTCAAGATGGAATCGTTGAAGATCTTTTTTACTGCTAATTAAATTTCCAACAGAAAAGGTCTTCTCATGTATTTTCTCGAACCAATACAGTAACGAAGAGGAAAGGAGTAAAATTCGGTTAGTTTTTCAGCTAATATATAAGTTTTCGAAGAATATCTCTGAATCTAGGAGAAACAGCGAATTTTTTTCATAAAAACGGTTTTTTAACTCTAATTTCATTTTACAGAAGAAATTTAGACAAAAATTTCTCTATCGCTCTTCGATTCTACGATATTCCTCGAAAACTCAACAGGTCGGCTTGTTACCCTGTACCGTACCACATCGAGAGTGAATTGATTTGTCCTCCACTTCCTCTCGTGATATAAATCATCATTGAACTTACCATTATGCTGTTTAACAATTAATTCAGGACTGGCCAGATAATATTGATCACACAGAAATCGCGCATTCTCGTAAGCATCTTTAACGACACCTATGACGTCACACCAAGGATCGATGCAGCCCACGTGTCTCTCGTTGCCATTGAGTGCTCCTCCGAAGAGTATTGCTGTGGAAAAGAGATACCAACTCGATTGACATCAATCTCCCAAGAGAACAAAGGCTTCAACTCACTGTGCTGGTTGATGAGCATTCTGATCGACACTCTGGACATGAAAAATCGATCTAGGAAATACTGTATACTGTTCTCCATCTGTCCATCGACGTCGTGGGACTCTTTAAGCTCGAGAATGCCCTTGGCCATCACTTCCACCACGTCACTGTGACGATTGCGAATTTTAACGAGAGCTTGACAAAATCTGGAATAGAAAAATGGAAAATTAAAGACATTACCGTCAAATAAAAGGAGAGGATAGTAATTCAATCTTAGAATTCTGATTTATATATAACTCTCTTATTAATATTTCTTATTATCTTGTTAGTTGAATATTTATCTGTTTTTTTATAAATTAAAGCAATATGGCTATAGAGTGAAATGAGCATTAATTACTACATTAAACAAACCATATTGGACTGCGTACACTTTATACTTTGAAAATTCAGTAAAATTATATTTGATTTTTTGCTCATTTTTTATCAGACGTGAATACTACAGAATTATTTCATCTTTGCCTTTATATATTGATAATTTACTCGTTTCAAATAGTTTTTAGCTGATTTACATGTTCAAGAATGAAGTTCAAATGATTAAATCAATAGTGGGGACATGAGTGGATCATTTTTTTGGAGCCCAACTATTATGAAATGCAAAGCTCTATAGAAATACTAACTTGTCCAAGGTGCTCTCGTTGATCTCCGACTTCTCAAAGTGAATGATCTCCTCGAAAGAAGTGACGTATAAATTGTTAACTACCCCGACACTGGGCATTCTCAACAGATGATCCGGCAGAAGATGAATCTCCTTCATGATGTTGGCAAGTCTCACAGGGAGTTCCTTTCGTAAGAAAATGAAGGATTTTCTCTCGCAGGCGCTCATTCCTAAAACCCCAAAATAATTCATCACATTTGAATACTTTAAACTCATTCACTATCTCGTCCGCAATTTTTAAATTCAGGGTAATGCCGATCAAAATACCGAGCATAAGCCGGCGTAACCGATAAACCCTTATCGGTTTATTTATTCAGAGTACGAATATGAATAATACCTGGCGAAAAAAAATTCTTGATGTTTCGAAACGACTTCTCAATGTCAACAAATTTATTTTGTAATCGTTGAGAATCTTCTATAAAGGGTAATTTCACTAGTAATTTGACAATAAAAAATAAGGTCGAATAATTTGACTAGTAATTTGACAATAATAGCGAATGGTCAATAGCGAAGTGGTAAACTACGATAGATGGGTATTTTCCCTCGAGAGGAGTTTTTCCCAAATATCTCCCACTTGTCTTTAAAAAAAATGCATTACCAAAAATATTTTGATCTCTTTGTAATGGAATAAGAAACAGTGAATATTATGAGATATAACAGATATTCAATGCTTGCAGCTGATGCCACAATGCATTGCATCACCCTGGATTGAGTCGATGGACAAGGGACAATGAGGAGAAAGAGGGATATCAGTAATTTAGTAATAAAAGGCGGCCAATGCGAGGATGTTGCCAATGCCCCGAATGGAAGACTTGAGAGCAATTTTAATTTTTTCTATTTCTTTTATTTTTTAATGAATTTTTTCGATAAAAAATCCCAAAAAAACGTTTTGCATATTTCTTCTCAGGTTTCTGTTTATTATATTGGCCTATTCCTGATTCGAGACCTTTCCTTATTTTATTCCCTCGATTTTTTTATTAATTGAAACGTCGAGTGTTGTATGGATGTCTGTGCAGACAATTATCGCTACACGCATCCCCAAGTCCCCTTTTTTATCGTCTCAATGTCGAAATCGACAAAGGAAATCGTGATAAGAAATTTCTATAAATAAATTAAAGTTGACGATGTCATTTATATTTTTTTTGTTCCTACGCTGTTTAGACTGAAAACATATAGCCGATTTAATTCTCGAACTGAAAGGACTTTTGATATTTCCTTGTAACATCAATTCCTTTTCACATGAAGCGAGGCTTAATATAATTTGTCAGATGTTATCTTTTGAACAATTCTTAAAATTTTGCTAAATGAACGAGCCTACAGTTTGACCTGAGTTAAATTTGGAAAGCAGGATGAAAAATTCATGGAACTACTCCTGAAAGTCAAAAAATCGACAGCAGTATGTGTGAATTAAAAAAAAGAGACGATGACGTGGGTTTATTTATCATTCAAGGTGAGACGGCATGTGTGAACTACAGACAATATTTTTCATCGCGAACCTGTCCGAGTCGATAAGATTGATTACAAGATCGATCTAAAATTCCATTCGCTATTGATAATTCACACACATCATAGTTATAAATGCCCAAAAATGCCCAACATTCCTCAAATTTTCACATTCACTATTCCGTCAATTGCTATTTATTTATAAATAAATAAATTATTAATAAAGCAGGAATTCAAAAATTCAATCGGATGCATTTTCAGTCCTGAAAATTTGTAGCTACATTTTTACCCGAAGAATTAAAAGTTTTTTGCTTCTGAATGGAAGTATTGTCATACTGTTGAAATTCAAGGTTACTATTTTTTATGTTATCTCGATCCTTTACGTCTCAATAAATTCAAAATAGGTAATAGCAATACCCGATGTATCGATGTATAAGAAAGATTGTCAAAAAATACATACTTTGTAGATATTATAACTCTATATGAATTCTGGGCCTGTCAGAGCATATTCCGTTTAATTAAATTTCATTAGGATTTGAAATTATAATTACTGTTGAAAGCGTATCTCTAATTTATTAGCAGCACTAACTATACTGTATTCAAAATTACTAAAAGGGTATGAATTATTATAAATGAAAGCGGATGTTCTCGACGGATGGCAGGTCATAGTCTGCAGCGAGGTCATTGAATGCTATTTCAGGTCTTTGATTGCTCCTCTGTTTTTGTTTATTAATGAAGGAAATGGGGAAGATGAGATTTAGAGACGTTTAATTACGTATGAGACTGGTACGAGGGCCAATGGAAGACTCTTATCGATGGGTGTGTCGACCAATCACTTTTAATTCAACAGTGACGTGCCTCTTGGACTCTGCCCTCTTGATTTTTTATTTATCTGAAGACCAGATGGTTACGTCGGCTTACGGCAATTCTTTGATTAATCAGTTATTTTCGATAGCGTTTTACCGTCGCTGGCGGAGATTTTCGAAGTTGAGACACATTTTTGTTCCATCGGCCAGAGCATTTAGCATCAAGTCTGACGATTCTTTCGTTCTGGGGCATTTAATTAGCGAATGAGACACGATTTTTGAGAGACAAAAGTTGTTGTTTTCATATGCTAATCAGTCTGATTCTACTGCGAATAGTAACGGTACAATGTTTTCAGCAACGAACTGATAATGCGAGATAACTCCAGTTGTAAGTTGAAAAATACATACTACTTTGGAAACGAAAATTGGACATTTTTTTTGGAAAGCTACGAAAAATTCCTTTCATATTTTCATGTTTAATTAAAACAATATTTTTTTTTAGATAAACCGATAATTCAAGGAACTGCTTTGACTCACTAATGTCTAAAAATGGGGTACATGGAAGAATGTAATGGTTTGTCCACGACTTGTTTGTCATTGGTCATTTACGACTATTATGGATTTAAAAACATGACAGCTATGCAATGTTTTATGAGTTCTATCATTTGACAGATGTGTTGACAGTGCAATGTTTATTGGTAATTTTTTCACTCCGAAAAGATTATCATGACAATATCTGTTCTGCATGTCTAGCAACAATGGCAAATCAAAGAGTTACTCTTATTTTCTTTAATTTGAAATCGTAGATATGCTATATACAAAATGTTTGTTCTGACATATTATATTATCATTACGAAATAAATATTAGTCTTATAAAATCGTTAAAAATCCAGTGAGCAAACTAAAATTTAGATTCTAAACGGTAGCTCGAAAATCAGATAAAAATGAACAACGTCTTTCGAAAGACAATGAACTTCCTGATTCCATCAGTCATTAATATGTGAAAAAAATAGACCTATTAATCTTCATGGAGAGATGCGGATTAATTGAGTATATTGAGTAACATGAACTTGTTTATGGATAAGTACTTCATTAATACTTTTTTTTTATTTGCATTGCTGATTGTCGGATTAATTTCTATTGCGTGTGGACCTCATTAAATAACACCGTAAATAGTTATGTCAATAAAATAATTTACTAGACCTGTCATGTACTCCGAGTTTTGTCAATTAAGGTAATTTGATCTTTCAATGATACGCGCCTCTAGTTAATTCTCTTGGTGAATTAATTCCGGTTTAAACACAGAAAAAAAATAGAAAAAAAAAACATTGGTTATTTTTTATGTAATTGAGACTCAAAGATCTATTAGGCATTACATAAGTTGACGATTCCATATAATCTAGAATCAGTAAACAAACTGAGTTCTTCAAAAATGTTCAGTTTTGCTTGAGGAAGATTTATGATTAGTATTTTCAAGGGAATTTGTAAAATCGAACATCACGACAAGTTCACAAACAACTCCCTACGCTCCTCATTCAGGACAATTCGTGAACTTCCTGGATGATTACATTCTGGAGGTCGCAACCTTGCACACATCACGTACTCCATTTGGCAATTCCCAAGGGTATCCCCTTCCCGAAAACCTCCAGAATGACTGCTCGAGGTTGGCGAGGCTCCAAAAGCCCTGACCGGTGAAAATCTCGCGAAAAATGCTCCCCAACAGTAAAAAATTCCCCACTCAAATTAATCTAATGCGTTTCACAAACGAATGCTGATAAGACACTCGAAACAATGACCGAATGAAAAAAACCAGCGATGATTTTCTCGGAAAAGCAGTAAATCAATATGACCCAGTGAATTCATAATTAAGAGCGACTGTTTCTTACACTTGGAACTGAAAAAAAAAACTCACCAAAATCGATGAACTGTTTGATGGACAATGGAGAGGGGTTGAACTGCGAGTAGAAATCTAACATCTTGGTGATGTTGCCCAGACACTTGCGTGTGATCCTCATTTTTGCAGCAACAAATCATGAGAATCTCAGTAGAACAAACTGTCCAGTCCGAATGAACTGCAGTGGATGCGCCCTTTTGGAGACAGACAGTAAAAACTCCAATGATGGCAGGTTAAATGTTTCTGCGAATTTCCAGTGTCTCTAGAAAGTTGTTGGAGATACTGCCGAGCGTATCATCACTCCTTTCAGCTTCAACTCGGCTCCAAAACATAACTGAATGAAAAATAACGAGGGAAAGAAGAGAGACGCCAGTAGAGAGAGCCCCACTGCACTCAGACCACTCACCAGTCAGACCGATCCGAAGGCCCAGGAGTCAACAACTCACCTCAAGGTCGCTTCATTCACGCCATCTACTGGTTCCATCAACTCAACGATTTAGTCATGCACTAGTCAGAGATGGTTTCAATCTGGGAAAAATCGTGAAAATTCAAGTCACACATCGTCACACTAAGGCAATGGAAAACTTTGAGAAAATCACAAGAATTAAAAAATCGTGAGAATCGAAAAATATATAGGGTGTAAGAGCTAATAACAATAATGTGCTGACCAATCTCTCTCGGATCACTATATTAAACGAATATTTAAAATGATAAGCGCCTTATTGAGAATCATTTTATTATTATCAGATTGAATCTGATCAAATAGACGGATCAAAATGAAGTCACAATTGTCGGGTAAAGGAGCAGTTTTAAATAGTTACAAAAATTGGAAAATAAAAAAAATGGACAAAATAAGATAACTTTTTAAATCCGTTGAATTCCATTCTCAATCGCTGGAGGTGAAATTTTTTTCCAAATGAATGACGTTATTATCAACTGATAATGTGTTATCACTCAATACAATATTCAATGTATCATATATTCAATGTGGTTAATATCAACAATTTTAATATGATACAGATAAAAAAAATAAAGATTTTTTAAATTCCCTAACGTTTCTTTTCAAAACATAAAATATTATCGATAACTGGATTTAATTGTAAATATGAACGACAACTCGGTGGGTCCTAATTTTTTTCGTTCTGTACATAAATAGCAAGCACATTTAGTTCTGGAAGATGATAATAATGGAAATGGCAATCTTTGAGTTACTGGATGATAAATGGAATATTTCAGCAGCTTTAGCAGAGATTTTCATGAGTAATGAGCTGACAACGCCACCTGCAACCGCTGAAAAATCCTCTTCTGGAAAAAGGAATTCATGAGTGAGATGGCGCCAGGGGTGAATCAAGCCAGCAAAGTTGACTTGTCCTGATTGCTGTTCTGCCTGTCGCTTGTCCCCCACGCGTTCTCACCAGCTCAATGACAGTTCCTCGCCAGGCACCTTGCGTATCAAAATGGCTCAGACGTCTCTCTCCCATTGAATCTAACGGTCAATCTACCTGAGATTCTTCACCGCCCAAAGTGATACAGTCCCGTGATGACATCTCCATCGTGATTGAGTTCAGGTGAGTCAAATTTTCTGAATAATCACCTCAACCACTTTAACCCAACTAACCCAAGGGTTGTTTGACACAGTGATAGCGAACCGTGTTGCTCAGACCGACTTTTTATCACAAGAAACCGTATGGATTCGCGGATGGTGACGTCGAATTATCGACGAGTTAGATAATAGCTAATAATTATCCAGTGGTTTTTCTCAATTAAATCCATTATTCCTATGAAAATCCAAAAACAAATTCTGAAGAGCTGATACCTAAATCCTGAGGCTGTTTCGTGATGGAGAAAGTTGCCCGCAGGCATTCATCTAGTGGAGGTTGAGTACTGAGAAAAAATTACTTCTACCAATTAGGTATTTTTATTAGTGAAAAACCAACGGACAAAGTTATGTGGGACAAGTTTGAAAGGATCTTGTCAGAGGATTTCGGGAATTTTGCTGGCTGTAGCTGGGGTGCAGTTGGGAAAAATAATAAATATTTTTTTTACTCTTAGTGAAGGGACCGGTGAAAGACGCCTTCTCTGAAAAGCGACCTCGATGGGAGATCGGATTATTCATTTCGTAGCAGCTGGGGCTCCTGCTCTAATCAGTTCAGGTGTCCTCGTATTTTTCTTTTCTTCTTTCTGATTAATGATGGTGATAAAAACACGGGAGGAGCGCAAGCGCCCGGCATAGGGGGATGAATGGAATTTGGAGGGTGAAGAGAGGAGAATGAAAGGGAGTTGCTCATTCTGCGGAAGTGGACTTATCGGCTCCGATAGTGGGGTTTGAGGGGTCGGTGACCTTCGGGGAATGTGTAGTTGGAAAAATTACTGGTCAGGATTTTTACTCCAGTAGAAAAATACCAGAGGGTCTGTGTGACGGAAGTCCTCCGAGATCCTTTGATTTCCCCATTCAGAGACTAATTTTCATACCGCATGTTGGCCAATTATTTGATTAATTTTCGCTGCAGTATGATTTTATTTTTTAACTTTGTGCTGGAGAATCGATGGTCAAGGGCCGAGATACTGAGAGTGTGCCGAACATGTTTGTTTAATTAATTATCACGAAGCAGGAACTCATTGTTTTGTTTGTGATTTTGCAACTTTTTTCTTTCCTCAGTCTGATCGTTTCCCGCGCGTTTCTACTGCCCCATGTGTCGACACATATGTGTACAAAAGTACACGTGACATGTCTTAATTATCCGCACGGGAGTGTCTTGCACGCGATATATACAGCAGATTGTGGTGATAGGAAGGGGACAGACAATTTTTTTTATGCCGTTTGTTTGTGAGAAATTACGTGATGTGGATTGGGAAGCTTTGACCACTCTCAGTCAGTCCGATTAACACGGAACTAAATTATTTGATGTTAAAAGAAAATCAGTCGCAATAGTAAGCAACAGCTTATGCGCGAGCAACTTAATTTGAATTGAAAATCTTTAGTTATTTTCTTAGCAAGTCTGATTTGTTCATGTTGACGAAAAATCCTGTAATTTTTATTTTCCAATTAATTAACTAGTTAGTCGATTAATTAATTAGTGCATTTTTTTCTCAACCCATGAAACCAACTACTTTCGTGTAAAAAAAATGAACTGCAATAGTAAATATTATCTCAGCAGAAATAAATAGAGGAATTATATACGGGCTGTTATGGAATTTATGTTGAAATTGATAATTGACCTACTAGAGGCTTTAAACTAGAAATAAAAATATGTTGAGAAATGTGAAGCAAATTTGCTGAGTTCTTGAAGAGAGATGGATCTCAGAGCTTGAATACTATTTGGTAGTTCAGGCTCTGTGGCGCAACGGATAACGCGTCTGACTACGGATCAGAAGATTCCAGGTTCGAATCCTGGCAGAGTCGCAATTAATTTTGAATTTTTCATATTTTTGCCTCCAAATGCAAGCTTTAGAATCGTTCGATTCTGATATTTTCTCATTTTCATTGGGGTGATGTAAAAAAATACGACGTTTGGACTGTCTGTTGTGTCCCCCCCTTCGCCACTTCTCGAAATTTGAATTTTAGATAGTTGAACGACAAGAGGACAAAAAAAATGGATAAAATCAAAAGTTTTGTCATATTGTAGGTCTTTGCTAATCCATTTAATAGTTCAATAGTTCCCGAGAAAAAAACAATTTGTTTTTCAAAATGTTTGTCTCGATAGCCTCCATCTAGATCAATTAAAACCTATACAGCTGTTGGTACAAAATTAACGAGATATTTCCACTTTTCTGTTTTTTCCAAAACACCGTTATACGCGCTCTAGCTTTTGCAAAAATCGTGAGATATTCCTGAAATTTTGACAAGGTTTCAAGCATTGTAATCGTTCGATTCTTCGCTTTTCTAATTTTTCCTGAAAATGACGTAGAACGGTCTGAAACTTTTCTAGATACTCATGATATTCATGATTTTCGAAAAAATGAGGTGTACGTGCTCTCTAATTTAAAAAAAATTAACCTATTAACTTGAAATTTGGCAGAAACTTTGTTTAGGAGATATTGCCATTTTTCTTTTTTTTCCGAAAAAGTCGTCACCAGAATAGCCACAGATCCATTCGAAAGCTTACTACCAATTGTAAATAAAAACTAACGCATAAAGTAAGAGTAAATGGCTCTGGCGAGATAGGCTCGGTTAACTATTTGTTTCGAGCGTCACCATCACGTCGATTAGATTTTGAATTCGTCATCTCTTGATAAATTAAATGGGCATTTATAAAAAAATTATATTTGTCAATGAAATTTTCTTGAGTCAGGAATTCAAATGACAATTTAGTATAGAAGTAAAATTAATGGTTTTTCTTGGTGCACGAACTTCATTCCGTAATGGAAAGTATAATAGTCTAGCGCTTCTAGGCTAAGATTTTCAGTGAATTACATTTGTGGGATTTTCTCAAAGCTTAGCTGAGTGACATAACAAAAATTTATGGGAGAATAATTCACGGGTCTTGAAGTCAGTTTCCATCTGATTCCAGTATAACTACATTCTAGTTAATTATAATCATGCAGTCGCCGAACGGCTTTCTCATTCGTTTTCGCAGTTGTATCCCCCTAATGGCATTTCCAGATAGTAAGACTAATGAACTTACAACCCACTAGTTGCTATTTCTCATTAATGCACTCTCCATGTCTTCATCAACAAATCGATCGAGATATCATACGAATTGCATAAAAAGTGTGACCAAAGAATATTTTCAATTGACTATTCAGCATCATCCTACAATTAACGATTAATAATTCATTTAGATTAATCCGTGACTTTCAATTAAATTATTATTCATCAATTAAACCACACGAGAACGAATTGAATAATCACTTCCAAAATCCGTCTAAAAGAAATATTTGAAAGAAAACTCTCGTGAATATTCCTCGGTTATGACTAAATGTTGAAACTTATACAAAATCATACTTTTCATAATCGTAATCTTTTTTAGTGGAATTCTCAATTTGGAGAAAGCTATGCCCAAGAGTTGACTAACTTTCTTGTATCTGATGAATCAACTTTGAAAAGCATCGTTTTTCTTAGAATGATAAAGAAATTCCCAGCTCTTCAAACTGGAAAATCAATTTCACACCTTAAAATTATGAAATCATTTTGAAATTTCAAAATTTTCTGCAATTGAAAATCAATTAAAATTTACAAGTTCAATAATGAATATCAAATCGTATTTTAGCATCCATACGGCCAAAATACAAGTTAGCATCGAAACGCAATTCGGTTCAATTTTATCTTTCGTTCTGAATCAATTAATTTGAAAAACATGAAAAGATCATTTTTATCGAACATTTAATGAGCTACAAAAAAAAATCTCTTAATGGTATCACCTTGAATCATTGATTTTCAAGATAACTCGATAATTTGAATAAAAACACGACTTGGTCGTATCAAGTTTGCTAATTAAATGCGAAACTGATTCTGGCTGTTGATTGGGGCTGTCTGACTTTTGTTCAATTAATTATGAAAAAATGTTCGTTTTGGTTTGACGGTCAAACTAATGTGGACGGGCAGAAATTAAATGATTAAATTGGCGTCACGTTTTACGCACCCAGCAATCTAGGACATGGGAACGAGTAGCGGAAATACGGTGAGCTAGCCCGTGAGGGCCTCTGAAGGGGATCACAAAAAAAAAAAATATCGAGAAACACAGGGATAATAATTTAACGTACACCTGATCGGTGAGACAATGAGCAGATCGATTTTCGTGAGAGGGGGCATCTCCTGGGCTTCATTCATTATTCCCAGCGCGAGTTAGAAAGCAGAGAAAACACTGGGTTGGTTGAAACGGTATTCTTTCGGTATGCTGTTTTTGTTTATATTTTTCTCACGGTTCGTTTCACTTACCGCGCTTGGAAAAAAAAATGATCCATGGAAATTCCTGGTAGAACGATCCATTTAGGGTGGTAATGAAAGTAATTGAAAGCGCAAGTCTTGAGTAATTGTCCAATCTCACGAGATATACTGAAATTAATTGTCCGAGTTTATTTAATTTTCTCTATTGTACATTTTTGACCGTGGAAACGGTTTAAAAGTCACAATTTTTAATGGTTTAATTTGCAATGAATTTTATAATTGAGTCAATTAATTCTAATTGTTTTACTGTCAATTATTTTCCATCAAGTGTCCCTGAATATTAATAAATCATCAACTTTATAATAGATTTTGAAAATCTATAATTTGGATTTACTTATTTATAGAAATCTTGAAGAAGAGTAGAAATAATTGAATGTATGACCGAACTTTGAGAATTTTTTACTTCAATGCCAGTTTTGCGCAGTCAGCTGCGGAATTTCTAGAACTCTGTATCAATGTATGTACAAATAATGTGGAGGCGATGGTAATGAATTCTGAAAGTGCTCCAATTGAGCCGACGCCTCCAGTAGCTCGGAATTTAAGTTTGCTCACCTAAAAACGCAGGTATTACAAAAATTTTATTCATTCATTCCAGCTGAGACTAGTACGATGATGGAATTTTTTTCAGGATCAAACGTGTTGATTCAATTTATTCTGCTACACTGCTAAATAAACAAAACTAGGCAATCATGCGCACGGTCACGCACAATAACATCCTCGTAGTCGTGGAAATGATCAATCCATTGATCGACCAATAGGAAGACGAATAACAGATTGACAATGAAATCAATCATTCATTGTCAATCTCTTTTATGATAAAGGAAAAGGATCGTACGCATTGTTGTAACTGAATGTCAGAAGTTTTAATCGTACACTTTTTATAGTATCAGTAGAAGCAATTGAAATTTCGGTTACAAAGGAACAAAATCTTTAGTTAAATCTACGGTACAGTAAAAATAGCAATTTTGAAATAAAAATTCCACAAAAATGTTAATTTTTTCTGTGATGAGAGGGTTAACTGAACGACAATTATTTCTCCATGAATAACAATCTTCAATAGTAAAACCCTTCAAAAAACAGACAACACTTAGAAAACAAATATTTTTTCCACGATTGATATTTCAGATATCTTTTTGATATTTCTAAATAGAAATAGAAAATATTTTTTTTCTACCGTATTTCTCCAGATCAGTGATTACCGGATGAATTATGTTTAACTATGAGATTATTATTCAACAAATGAAGGAAGTTCAATAACAATTATTAAGATTTGAAATTATTCTAAATTATTCAAGCTGACAAATCTGGAATTGTAATAATTGGGAAAGCAAGTGTCTTTTGTGGTAAAATCATATACAGCCTGACAATAAAACTGTTCAATATAACTTTAGATGCTAGATCTAGAACTGGATATGACTGTCCTTGGGGTATTCTCTTTTGTGAAAAATATCAAAATTTGGGTGAAACATATTTTTTCTACGTACATCTAGTGTACGTCGCACTAGGATATTTTTATCCGACGGAAGAGGAGCGGCACCGACAGGCTGACGCACCTCTCCAAGTGCTCCTCTCTTGTTCCTACATATATACACATGAAGGAAATTACCGGTATGCGGATAATATGAGACTGCCAATGCGAGATGACACCGCGAAAGGTGGTAGATGGTGGTAGAGTCCTTGAGCCGCTAGTTGTGACGGACAAACCGCACTATTTGGTTCGTTAGACCATGCCGTTCTCTAATCCACTTTAATTATCCAACGCCTGGAGAAACGCGCTAGCTTTCTGGTAATAATACGTTCTCTGTTATTTACGGTTACAGATTGAATTCTAGGCGGATGTCGCGATGACACTGCACTGGTGGATGCACTGGTTCTGGGTGACCGCACAATTTGCTGGTGAGTGAGTCAGATTTTTACATTTTTCCTTGAAATTCTTTTGTTGGAGGATAAATAATTTAATTGGTGTAATAACTCCGGACAAGCGAAAATTCTTTTGAAAATGCTCTCCAATAATTATTGGAAACTTATTTGAAAAATGTTGATTTCAATTTTGCCATCATCGAGTGAAAATTCTGCCATTAATCTCTGGTTATCAATAATTTTCCTATTAAATATATTTTCCTCGAGACCTGTTTTTAGCTCTCATTATGCTCATCTAACAATCGCTTCAAAAAATATAACAAAATAAGTTTATTGAACTTTCTTGTTCATTGGTCTTCTATTTGAATTATTTTCTCTAGAATTTCCTCGCCTCAAATTTCCTTAATCCATTTCTCGGTTTTATTCTATAAAAAATTTTCATATTTTCCATTCCAAGTAAAGCCTTGATTATTGTGTTTTTTGGCTTTGTTGATGATTTTTCGGTTACAAATGGTTAATTCCAAAACTAGTTATCCTCGGCGTTCCTCTTCCATCAACAACTGAAGATCCTCATCTCGAGCGGGACTCGAGTCCGTCATGGAGGGCAGTAACGGTGCGACTGACCTCAGAACCACCAACAAGAGCCAGCATGAGGATTGCTAAGGCTATAAATTCCGACGAGCCGTCCATTAAAGCCAACTCTGTGGGTCTGGCTGGTCCAGTTGTCCGCCGGCAGTCTTTCAACGCTTCCAAGCTCCTGAAGAAACCGCAGGGGATGTCTCTGTCATCTCTTCTTATGAGCACAGAACGCCCTGTTTCTATCTCGCCCCAACGCCCGAGCTTCAATCTCGTCAGGAACTTCCAGCAAGACTTCATTGGAGGCAACTTCCGAGGAAATGGCCAGATATTCCAAAGGAAAGACCAGAGTTGGGTAAATATTATTGTCATCAACATCTTTCCCTTTCTGTTGTTGTAAAATGATCGGATACACAACTATAAAACGGAATCAATTAAATAACTAATAGGTTCTTTTTTAAAATTCGATTTGGATTTGGAAATAGAAATTTTGAAAAATTGTCATTACGATTGTATTGGTATTTGTTACCCAGGAGGTATTACCGAGGCCTGTAAAGGACACAAGGATTACATGGCTGTTGACAACCCTTCGGCCAGTGAGGAGGAGAACAGAAGAGATAGAGGAGGATGAGGAAGTTGAGGAAAAATTACGCAATCTGAGTACAGTTGAGGAACGGGATCTAACGGTTCTGCCACTGAGATTGGAGGAGACGCGTTTCAAGCTAGTGGTGAACAGGAGTCGAACGATAAACGGTGATACAGATATGGTGTCTTTTAGCAGTCGAACGTTCAATGGATCTGAGGACATTGAAATTGACCAAGAGTTGGCAGAACCGAGGATAGCATCGGCTACTGCATCGTCGATTGTTCATGCGGGGTTGAGCGAGGCAACGAGATTGAGTAGAGCAAGGAGTGCTTTCACCAATGACTTCCAGAGAGACAGGGCGCAGGACAGATCTTCCCAGGATGATGATGACGATGACGATACGATCAATGGCAATGGTATTTCTGCGGGGGTGACTGCCGAGACCGCTAAGACTTCTCTGGTGGACATTGCTGCTATAACTGGAAGTTGTCTTGCTATGATTGTCTTGCTAAGTACCATGGGGAGCATTGGTTTCGTTATGTACAGGAAGAAGTACTTGAATCCACCCCAGACCTTGAACAGCGATAAATGCAGCAATCCTGATAGCTCTGGGTACATTGATGATTCCACAATTCGCGTGAGTTTGCATTAACATTTCTACTGAATGGGTTCAATAGGCTAGAATAACTGTAGTTTTCGAAACCATTATCTAGTGATTTGTGATCAGGGATCAGCGGGATCAGTAATTGTCACAGTTAGATTTTTAGTTTTCAAATTTTCTTAATTCATTACATTTTTTTATAATCCCTTTAGGATAATTCCGAGGAGATGTACAGCCTGGACAACGACTCATTCCTGAACTCTCTTGAGGCAATGACAATACAAAATTACTGGACAGATAGTGTCAAGCATACGAAGCTGTGACGCCAACAATAAAAGTGAGCAGAGACTAGCATATCTGGGAGAAATTGAGTCTAACTTTTTGCGAGACATTTGAAAATTAACGAGAAGTAATCACAAAAGAGTAATTCATTAATTTTTGGCTCTTTAATGAAACGCTAGTATTAGCAGAATAGTGCAATAAATTTGCGTGTACTTAAAATATGTTAGGTGAAATGATAAGAAAAGTGTTTTTTCATTGTACGTGGAGAGGAAGTGGAAGTGACGTAGTTTAAGTATAAATAAGACTTTTAGAAAGGATGTAGAGATTTTTCTTGACGAAAAAATTATTATTGAGAAAAAGAGAGAGAGAGAGAGAGAGAGAACATTGTAAACATTGTGTACATAACGAACAATCTGTGGTTTGAATTATTATTTAGAATGTGGTGGCGCTGCATTTTCCATTCCACCTCGTGATTCGTTTGCTTTGTTATCATTTTATAAAATCAAATTCGCCTAATAGGTTTTAATCGTTTCCAAACCAATTTGTTATATTCGTTTTTTGTGAGTTTATCATTACTAACGGAAAATCGGACCAAGATGTACGTAGTTGATAGTCAATTTGCCTTTACAACATATCCACTAACCGACTAATTAAATCTATTTAGTCTTGATCCGCGTCAGCTATTGAAAATACGTAAGAAATTTCGAAAACAAATAATTCAATGCACTGTTTCATTTAAATGATCCTAGGATTGTTTAAGAGTTATATTTATATACGAATTTTTCCCCCATTTCAAGGATAATGAATAAATGATATATATTACATTAACACTTTTTGGTGATGTGATAGAAGTAGTCGTTGGGATTTATCTTTTATTATCACGGTTGTGAATAAATACACGCATTAAACATCACAATTTTTTCTAGTTTTAGGTTTTTCATTCCATCCTGTCTATTGCCTCTTTTCACATCTTTTCAGGAGATTCAGCGAAAAATTTATTGTAATGTATTAAGAATGTAAGAAACGCTTTTTAGCGAGTTTATTTTCTTTATGTTTCTTAAAATAGAGAAAATCGAATGTTTATGTTTCTACAAATTTATGATAGACCAATTTGATATCTGTTGAAAATATATCATAGATTCTGCCCATTTTAATACATATATTTTTCGTCATGTGGATAAGTAATTGGTTTTGTTTATTAGATATCTTGAGTATAGTTGTAAGTTCAACAATTACTTGGTGAAAAATGAACATTTTTAATTGTACATTGGATGAATACAAAGAAACTTTCAGCTTTTTCGCACAATTCTTTTTTTATTTCACCATAAAAACAGAAATGTGCAAAAAAATGTGAAGTATCATAAGAATTGAATTCGATAACTACTTTAAAAACAACGATAGTTCAGACAAAAAAAGAAATTTTCTTTCGACAAATAGCGAATAAAAATTGGAAAAAAATGGAGATTTGAGCGGGAACAACAATTCGAATTTCTCTCTAGGGGGAATCCCCGTGGGTCGTCCTCTGGTGTTGGCATCACGAATGTCAACCACTACTCGTTCTAACTGTCAAGCCACCACATGTGTGTAATATGTCAACGTGTTTACAAGCAACACCGCTAACCATTTCCTTCATACATTTTATTAGGCTAAATCAATTAGATCAATCAAACTCCATGTGAGTCAGAAAGTTGCGTGAAAATAGTGGTGAGGTTGTATGTGACAATTAATAATTACCACGTGAAGTACCGTTGAAGGAATAATGGCAACGTTGGAGGACAAGATTTTGGGGGAGAAAAATGAGTATTACTGTAGTTCGGGTGAGGAAGAAGGTAATGATTCTGGGGATTCTGATAAGGAGGAGGCAGTTTGTGTCAAGGAAGAAACCAGTAGGACAGTGGAATTGGATACATGGGATGGTACATCCAGTAATACCGGTCCTAAAGGGGTCATTAGGGTATGGAGTTCATTGACACTCTTGTTTTCTTAACAATATAACAAACAGAAACATTTATTAAAACATCAAATAAAAATTGCACGAACCAACAAGTATTGAGTCTTGACTCAACAGTTTCCATATCATTTTTTGAAAATAAAATACATTCAATTTTTTTGGTCCCGCCAATTGAATATTCTGTTTAGGATTGGCAACGATTCAAACAATTAGAAGCTGAAAAGCGTAAAGAGCAAGATCGAGAACGTGTGGAGCTGATGAAGAAGTTGACCCTCACTTGTACAAGTACTCTCGACGATGAGAAAGAAAAACTCCAGGAAAATGACCCAGAGCTATCGGAGCTTCTGGATGATGACTTCCTTCTGGAGTATCAACGACAGAGGATGACGGAAATGCTAGCTCAAGCCACGAAGTTGCAGTTTGGGGAATTGATAAATCTAGCCAATGGCGATGACTTCCTGAAAGCAATTGATGACGAGGACAAAGCCGTCACTGTGGTGGTTCATATCTACGAGAAAAAGGCGCCTGGGTGTGATGCCATGAATGGTTGCTTGATAACACTAGCTCAGGAGTATTCGTACGTCAAATTTTGTAAAATTCTCGGTAGGTTTATTTGAAAGAGCAGTATTAATATTAAGAATTTTCGTCCAATAATTAAATAAAGAACATAATGAAGTGATTTTTCTCGGGCATTCTCAATTGACACTTTAAATTGCAAGTGTAATTCATGAATATAGATCTACAATCATCTACAAGAATAAAGGATAAATTTTCTCTGTACAATCAATTTTCCTTGAAATGATAATAATAAGACACTAGCCTTTTTCATTGTGGAATTATGACATCATCTAATCTTTGCATCACTCGAATCGTCAATTACACTTCGATAATTTCAACTTAATAAGTATAATTATGCTTCAGGTTCCGCTGCAGGGCTGAGTAAGCACTTTAAAAAGTCGGGAGTGCCAGCTCTCCTAATATATAAGAATGGTCAGGTGATCGGCAACTTCGTGCGAGTGACCGAGACGTTGGGGACCGACTTCTATGCGTCGGACGTCGAGGGCTTTCTCTTGGAGCACGGGATAATAAATGACAAGAACAATGTTCCCAAAATCATCTCCAACTCTAACAATGATGACAGCGATTGACGCGGCAGAACCCGAACCTTTCGATCTCAAAGTAGTGAATACATAGAAAAACCTAGGGCAAAATGGATGTCAGAAATGTCTTTAAACACTCATACAAGTCGAATATCTCCAAATCTAAGAGGGCGCCCATAATTTTTATAAATACCATTTTTAAAGCTGCAATCCTGCCCTACAAAAGAGGTCGCAACAAAAATTTAACTGAATTCACTGGTTATCCTCTATCTTTTTTTCACTTAATTGACTAGAATTAGGACAAAAACACCTGTCTTCAAGGAGAAAAAATGATTTCATTTAATCAACGATTGCATCAAATTTTAATATTAAAAAAGGTTCAGAGTCCATTTTTCCCTATCAATCCACATTAATTGACTCCATGTACAGTAAAATATACAGAATCCTTTTTACGTTCTCTTAAAGCATCTCCAGTAAACGTTCCTCTTTTTTTATGGTTGCACAGAGGTCTAGGTACCTCTTTAGAACCTCGTCGTACTCGGTTCCCTGAAGATCCTCGTACTGCTTCTTCAGGAGTTTTTTCTTCTTGATTTCCCCCTCGACCCCAGCGATTCTCTCATCCAGGTCATGGCTAATTGATTTGAAGGCAGCGATTGTCCTTGGCGTTTCCTTAAACATCTTTATCGTGCAGGAGATTTTGCTCAGCCTCGCTTGGAGCTCAGCCAGTTGGGACTGGAGTCGTTTAGTTTCCGCCTTTTTTACATTTATCTCCTCGACGTCATCATACTTGAGTCTCTTCCAATCTTCCAACAACTCTGCCAGCTTCATCACGTCCCTCTGATACTCGTTACAGACTTCTCCTAGTTTCTCTTTCCAATCACTCAAGAGAGACTCATCGATTCGACACAGAGCAAGTCTACATCGAGATCTATTCACGTCCATCGCCTCTTTGATATTCCCACCAAATTCCTCGTATCTATGCACAGTGTAATTCAATAATGAAATCGACACATAAAATTATTTTCCAATTTCCTTGGAAAATTCAGGAAAGAGCTAAAATAAATTTTAATCAATGATCTATAGGAAAATTATAAGTATTTATCATTATTCGAGATTTTTTTAAATTTTAATACAACATTAACATTAAACGTTAATTTTATATTTCATTGTAATCCAATTTATTCTAAAAAGGTGAACTATGATGAAAAAATTTTTTTGAATATGAATTTCCCATTTTTCCCCTTATCCTTCGTTTTCACGATTGAAATGGAACAAGGATTTTTGTAAGAAAACGAAATAAAATTCTACAATAATACGAACTTTGTGATGAACCTCTGGCACTTCTCTTGGATCCTCGTTTCCACTTCGGCCTTTACCATTTTCTTCTCATCAAAACTCAATTCAGGCCTCGAGACATCAGTAATTCCCAGCAACTGAGTCTGACTACCATCCGCGATATTCACAGCTATTCTCAGGTACTTGTCGACACTTTGTACTTGGAGAATGTGCCTTAATTTGGAGGATGTCTCAGGAGGAAGTGCATCAGCATCATTGGCGACTTCTTCAAGGCATTCCTGGATCAATCGAACTCTTGCAGCTTCGGTGATCGTTTCCTCACACTCGGTGACATCATTGATCAATTTCTCAGTGTCTCCCTGTTTTGAGGATTGAATGATCTCCTGAGGTTGGGGGCTGGAGCTCCGAATTACTGAGAACCCGGAGAAGCCTTAAAAAACAATTCAATATCATTTAAGAATTAATACATGGAGAAAACAGGGAAGACGGAATAGCAGCAGAACTCTTGACCGCAATGCTAAGAGAACGAAGGCTAGAATTAATCAAGATAATACAGGGCATATGAAATTAAAAGAGATCAATAGACCAGTGGATAACAGCAATAATCTTTTCAATATATGAAATTAAAGGAGATAACAAGTAATGCTAGAGGGATTTCGCTCTTGAATAGCGGTTGTAAGATACTGAGAACAGTGATGGCGCTTACGGCTGATGAAGTTTCATGAGCGTGCATTTGTCCTGTATTTTTTCAAGTTTTGTGAATTTTTAAAAAGTTCAGACAAAATTTAAAAAAATATTTGTACGATCATGCCATTTTGAGAGTCATTGAATTATTATGAAATGCGCAAACAGGACATTTTTTCGCGTCAATCCGATCAATAAGCTATGAGAAAACTAAAAAAAACCGGTGATTTTGGCTAGAAGGGGGCAGAACATCCTGAAAGAAAACTTTAAAAACTCTGGTAAATAAATGCATACAATTGAAAGGCAAATGACTATTGAAAGTTTGAAAGTTGCTCACCAGCTCTTCCAGCAAATATTCTTATAATTTACCCGCCATTCCCCCCAAGCAATACCCATAGACCACTGACCTATGCTGTCCTAACCTCTTCGAACCCAAGACCTAGGGCCAGCTCAGCCCACCCCAGGTCTCCACCGGGAAAACCCCCTAGAAACCCTCATAAATTCTAGTCGCCCTAGACGTACCTGACAGCTGACTTGACTGGTCTCCTTTTTGACTCATTGTCAACAAGCAAATAATAAATCAATCAGTGCCTTTACCGGTGCATTTAAAACGATAACAAACCTGGAAGTCCTTCACGATAATATCCCAGGGGGCACCACCTGCTGCCCCCCCCCCCGCCCGGATTTTTTTTCGCAAACACAGAAACTGCATGCGAATCGCAGTTACAGTATCATCACACACATAAATCTCGTGCTGATTGTCATTTCAGTTTTATGTGACGTATTAATCGTCTCAACAATCAGCACCAGTGATAATTCATTGGACACTTGAATGGTGCTGTGTTGATGGCGCAAACAATGTCTGAAAACACAAACATTTACATTCCCTGGACCACTCAATGGTGAATTCTAACGTCAATCTATCCAGTGGAGGTGCGCTGAGATAAACATAAAGGTGAGATGGAATAATTATCAACAGTCAGTTTATGGTTTTATTTGGTTAGTGGCTGGTGGTTTAATCGAAGAAGGAAATTGATTAACGATTTAATGAGCTGCCATTAGGTAGTCGTGATCGTCGTGATCCTCATCACGTGGGTCGTGTGACACCGACATCAATTGTGCCAATTATGTCAGACATGGCTTTCCACTTCGTTGAATAATGCAGACTAATAATAAACCCTTGTGAATTTTATCCCAGGTTATCGCGTAGAGTTCAGATGGAGCGGGTTTTGAAAGCCGTCCCAGAGGATCTGAGAGTCAAAATGGAGGCACTAGTGCACGACTTGTCATTAGCACTGGAGGAGAGCAGCAACTCGACGAATGTCAAAAGACGATGGGGTCTTAGAAGGCGTGCCAGGTCCACGGGCAATATTCGTAAGTGTAAGGAGGGATCATCTTCCATTTTCATTGGCCAGAAAGAGTAATCTTCAGAGCAATTCGAAAATTTTAATCTCTAATTTTTAAACCGTTGTTCCTTTTGATGTTCTTTCAAGAATTGAGTAGCGAATTGCTACAGTGAGATAAATCGAATTGGAAATTTTGATTAATTATAGGTTTATCTCTGGCACTGTTAGTTTCTGGTAAATAAATTCGAAGACTTCTTTCTTCATTCGATAGTGAATGGTTAAAAGTAATGGTTTTATTTTTTAAAAAGATTTCAATTGACATAATTAATTCTGAAGGTTTAAAGGAATACTTCATGGATCGAAACTTTCACTCTATCCGAAGTTGAAATTCATCGTTTCAGCTTCCCTGAGTGCAAATAAACATTCAGAGGATAGTTCCTCCTCCATCTGTGACATTCGCATTCCGAAGACCTCCTCCACTACAAAATACCAGTCGGACAGCGACGACACAGACAGACGAGAGTCATTCGCTCGTTTCTGGAACCTTAATGCGATAAGCAACGTCGAGTCTGATTCTGTCAACGAGTACTTCGTCCCCCGGATAAATACAAAACGGAAGCGCAAGTTCAAGCGAATGGCCGTGGACTCCTCGAACCCCTCTACCTCCCAGGCGATCACTCAAAAGAAAAGATTATTCAGGACTAACTGTGAAAACAGGTATGATTGCATGTCATCTTTAAAACTCAATCCTACGAAATAAAGCCATGCAAGATAATCGAAGAATTTTTTTTCTTTTCGTTTTGCCTCTTCGACCTCCTTGAATATCCAGATATCATCAGTGGAGAGAATATATATGTAAAATAAAACATTGGTTGATAGACAAATTCGATTTTTCAGAAAAGTCCCTTTCCTCCTCCAAAAATCATCGATTGAGCACCTAGTATAAAGGTCATTTTTTTCCCTTCTGTTTTTTAAGCCGTTTGAGCATTCTAATATCTCTTAGAAGGAAAATATATGTGAAATCACTGGTTGCTTGATTCACTAATTCAATTGAAAAAACGTGATTTTCCTCCTCCAAACGTCACAGATCAACCACCAAAATTGAGGGTAAATTCCGAATTATGGAATTTTCCCTTTCCTAATTTCTTTAAGAATTACAAAAAAAGTAAAGTCAATCATATTTGAGTCTTAAGTGATTTACCCTCGACAGGTACAGCACGATCTGGTGTGGAAAGCGAAAGAGATCGTGTAGAGAGCGTTCGATAGACTGTGAGATGCGTTCGCCAAAGCCCACAAGAAACTCAAAATCAAAGAGCCACCGTGGAAAGATGCGAAGTGAGGACGCAATGGACTGCTCAAGGATATCGAGCTCGAGCATATCATCGAGTGATTCAGAGGCTGGGATCAGAGCTGAGGAGGATCACGAAGGGGATGACGAGCAATCAGACTGGATCGGTGAGACCAGCTGGTGGGACGACGAGAGCACCACCGAGGAGAAGGCCATGGATCCCGCACTCCAGACACTCATTAATTATCGTCAGAGGTTCCAGAAGACCAGGGACAGTCTCAATGGAAGGGAAATTCGAGCTGGACGTCGTCATGTGGACAACAAGCCCGGTTACTCCATCATAACGTCCGCTAATGAGAAGGTCTCCAGGTTCTTGCAGGATCCCTCTCAGAGTGAATTGAAACTGCACCCCATGAGGCAGCCTGAAAGGGAGAAACTCCGACGACTTGCGAATTTGTACAGCTTATCTTTGAAGGGCGATCTGAGCTGCCCCATCCTCTACAAGACTCGACACACCACACAGGCCATTTGCGTCGATCAGGTGTCTTTCAACAGATTTTCAGACTACAAGAGACTCAGGAAGACGCCCCCACCATCGCCGAACTCTGAGATTATTGGGAGCAATGTTGAGGTGCCGATTTTCACTGAAAATTTTGCAGTTCCGGTCGTCAATCACTCCCAGAACACTTCGGAACCTATGAACTTTGACTGGGGGAATCATAGCATGGAAGCCGATGTCGTAACTCCCAAATTCGATACTGACTTTGGACATTCCAAGTCCAGTTGAACGCATTTGGAGAATGTCAATTGAAAAATTCACGTGCATTTGGAGCCGCCAATCTTCGGTTTGAAAATAGTAGGGTGAAAATAGTAATAATTCTGGGTTGAATTTTGTCGTTGGTTCCTCTCATGAATTTCCTACGGAATTATTAAAATTTTGTGATCTTCCTAGGATATTATGAGAAAAATTGTGGAGGGAGAGGTAGGTATGCAAATCACATATTACAATTGGACACTTCAAGGCTTGCTAAGGTGAATTCAAAAGTGAAGTGGTAAAAAGTAATTTGCAAAAAATTTTCTCTCGTCCTTTCCCACACAATAATTCTCTAATCTTCCCGTAATTTTATAAGCAAAAAAAAAAGGCTCGAAAGTTTTCGTTTTTAGTGCTAGAAAGCAATCTCCTGGTCCTCGTTGAAGTAATCGATGTCAGGAATGATAATTGCTAGGCTAATGTTAGGATGGATTTAATGTAAACGTAGATCGATCTAATGAAAATTATATAAAAATACAACGAACATTTTATTTAATCATTTCAAGCCTCCGCAATTATAAACAATGATCTAGCTATAATTATTGTTACATTTGACCCATTTTCTTGGCGTTGGCCATTGCGTTTTCATTCATGAGCATCTGGTATTCCTGAAACCGTTGGGAAACCCTTTGATTCATCTTCAGGAACTTCTCCATACAGTTGAGAGCACACTTCTCCTCTTTCTCTCGAATATCCCTCGTTGTAAAATCGGATATGCAGTCGATGAAACAAATTTCGGACAGTTTGTTGTAGGAAGTCAAAAAATCTTTAAACTAAATAATAGAATAATATGTTTTTAAACACATAACTAGTTTTGTTAAGAAAGAAAACCGCTATTCCCGTTGCATTATTATTTTGAATTTGAAGTTTGCGATCATGATTCAATGATGACAATATTTAAGGCGTTTTGCAAAGGGATTTGAATTTTTTAAATTGAAATGGATCTGTGGAAGCAAACATGCAGAGGCATTTACAACGAATTCCAGGGTTTTTACGTAATTAATCAATGAAACAACTTACTGATTTGATTTGTTCGGCCTCTACGTCGACAGGCACTCCAGGAATAGTTGCTGCCATTGTCAGTAAATTCGAATTAATTTAGTAATGGAACGATAAACAATCTTCAAAAGCAGTCGCTGTTTCAATAATTGAGGTTATGAGCTGCTTGAATCAACTCACGTCACTCGCATATACTGACATCGCAGGCGCAGTTGAGGTCAAAATTCCTTCTATCTTCAAAATTATTGTTAATTATTGTAAATTATTGTTATATTGATGTCTCTTCATGCCCGAAAAAAAAATTTTCAGGTAATCCCTTTCTAAAAATCCATACCAACACTCATGATTTTTAGGATTTAATCATTTTATTCAAAAAAATATTCGACTGTGCCAGAGCAAACCCATGTAATAAATTGAACTAACTTTTGATAAATTAACATAAACTTAGATTGATAAATGCATTGATCGTCGCCTCGCAATTAGATGTCTTCAATGATAGTGTCTATTTTACCCCAGACTTCATCATAATTGGAATGCGAATTGAATGGGCATTTAAAACATTTAAACTTTAGCGGGAGCGCAACGTCTTACGATTTGGAAAACTTCGAGAGATGTCGTTAGTTGTACCTTAGATGCCCGGACGTGCGTTGGTGTCTCATCATCTCTCGTCATTGTTCCGCTAAGAAACAATTAAAAAAAAGCATTTCACGCGCGTTCGAATGACTCTGAAATAGCGAAAAAACTTTCTGTGACAGCCCAACGTTTGAATCCCTCGAAAGCATGCATTCAATCGTCGTAAAACCTTGGAATTCGTGGTCCCCCCAAAAACGCGGGAAATCGCCATCACAACACCAAAACAAAGCGCTGGGACTGACGTCGAGAATACCTCTGAATAAAAATCCACAGCGAATCCCAAAATGGGCAAGGGGTCGTTCATCTTTAAAAGGGAATTACGTGCCTCTCGAATTCAGTGAGAATAATCTTCGCTTTGAATTTCGGGAAAATTTCAATGAAATTAACGAGTCAGTGCAGACACTCAGGCGGGAAATCAGTGCATGGAAGTGGCAGAAGGTCCTGAGGGATAAAGTTAGGAAAAGACTGGAGAAATTGAGCATTCCAAACCTCGATTCGTTTTGTAAGTCCGCCAATTTTTTTCTGCTTCCCAATGGAAGCATTTTCATCATTCGATTTTAAGGTTGCACTTTTTCATGTTTGGATGTCTAACTTTGGACTTGAGAACTTTCATATAATCCTTTAACGAGTGCATATCAATAATTCAACTTGAAATTTCACATTTTTCGGATCAGGACAACAGATGTTCTGTTACTGAATTTGGAAATTATTTTTTTTTTAATGACCATGTGTATGTATGTGACCAACACGTGTTTCGGTGATTACTCAAAAAAATAATTGCTAAATTTCATTAAACCAAGGTTTAATGGATTCAGTTCTGTCTTTTCTTGACCAATTTTAGGGAATATCTCCAACAGTATTGATTTGAATATTCCAAACAAGAAAGAATTCGACTAACTAAAAAAGTTATTTTCTCTTGAACTCTGACAATTTCATATAATAATTAATATTATATGAAATGCATAACTATTGGGAAGTGTATTGCTAATCTTTTAAAAAAAAATGGCTATATCATATGAAATCATATGCAATATCCCACCTGTTTTCTTTGAGCATAGGGAAATCTTGCGCATAAATGTGGAGTGGGGTTGGTAAGGTTGTATGTCGTGTGTCAAGCCGAAATAGCTCAGATGGGAGAGCGTTAGACTGAAGATCTAAATGTCCCCGGTTCGATCCCGGGTTTCGGCAATTTTTTTTATTTCGATTTGTCCGGTAATGCTGATAAAACTATATAGAAAATTTGATAATGAGAACATATATTAAGCCTCACATTTGGTTAACTGCGTTATTGTTCAATATTTGATCATCATTGACAGTATTGTTAGCGTGACACCTGCCGGCGTAACTGGATGATGCTGACCAAGTGATGACATATAAACAATTATGTGTTTAAGAGGCTGTTTGAGTATGGAGAAGACAGATTCAAATCTCCACGTCCAAATTCCACGTTGTGGCTAGTCAGGGTATCAAATAAATTTTATTACAAGCTGAAATATAATGTCATCTGTCCGTTGGATTTGCTGCGATATTCGTCTGTATATTTTCTCGTCTTTTTTCTCTTTGAATTCTCGTTCGTGTGATTCTTTATCACCCTCGTTAATATGTCATGAGTTACATACAATTGTTTGAAAATAGTTGAAACAGTCGAAAATTTACATACACATAATGTATGTAAAGTTTTTAATAAATGTGGGATCGGTAACACAGTTTTGGCGCTTCCGGGTGCTTGAGTCGTTTGGTTCATCACAATTATACTTGGGTAGAGATTTATTGATTTGTTCGCTGATTTTGCACTTTATTAATTATTTTTTCGACATTTACTTTGGTACTTAACTGATAAAGTCCCAATACAAAGGTTAAAAAAATGATATGTCTTTTCTAGTCGTTTCAAATATTACATAGTATTGAAACCAAGTCAATGCAGAGCTTCAGCAGGTCAACATAAAAGTACGTTTGATCTACCTAGGTCCTAAACTACTCGAAGCAGTAAGCATTGAAACGAGCTAAACGAATCAATTTTTGTGATGCATTTGATCGCCTAAGTAAGAATAATTTCCCATTGGGTCGATAATAATCGCTCGATTCAGTATTATCAGACGCCGGACATTAAATTGCGAGGATATTGCAAGAAGTTACATTCAGGAGAAGGTAGAGTTTGAATGATTGGGACTGGTCTGAGGAAAATATACCACGAGTAAGACTAAGAGATGCAGTCACTGCAAAGGTTGAACGGGTTGGTGGATAGCAGATCGCCTGAAAGACCGGCAAGATAATAAAACCGATTGCAAAGGGGTTACGCAGATAAGGTAATACAACGTAATAAGATCCTGCAACAGTTACTGTAAAACTACCAAAAAGCTAGAACTGGACCAATAACTAGGCAACAGAGGTAGCAATGTAATAAGTAGAAAAAGGCCAAGAAATAAATCAAAGACTGGGGAAATCACGTGATTCTGTTGACATTGACTTTTTAACCGTCAACGGAATAATTCCAATTTTTTTTAAACTTGTAGGGAAAATTGATTGATCGATTGAGAACTGATTAAGAAAGCAACAATTGTTAATTAAATTGTGTCGTTATTGGTAGTTAATTGAATTGAGAGGCAAAGTAAAATTGAATTTGATTTGTTGAAAATTTGAATATACAGTATTGTCAGCGTGACACTTGCCAACGTAATTGGATTATGCTGACCAAGCGATGACATATAAACATTAATGTATTTCAGAAGCCGTTTGGGTCTTGAGACAGCAGATCCAACTTGGGCTGCAACGTGTGTTAGTCGTAATCACTGTAATCAATCAGATGCCATAGCTACAGTAATAAACTCCCATATTTAAGTACCTATAAACGATTGGCGGGATATATTGGCGGTATCCCTTCGAGCCTAGAATCTAGAATAAATATAAGCATCCGCCCACGCAGGGTACAACACCTATAATTCTCTTCTCGGAATATTTAGTTTTTATTGCCGAAATAAAACACCCTTAAAGTTAAATTTGGTTGGAATTCAGTTACACTGTATTCCTACCGGATAGCCGCTCAGTTCGGATACTAAGGATATCTGTTTACCTTAGGATATACCTGAAAATAATAAAAATTGTGGAACAGAATAAGTTGAAAATGGAAGTAGCTCTAATATATAATTTACGGGAAAAAATGTGAAGTAGGGCTACATATATAGTTGTGGAACATCCTGAAACTAATGGTCGGTCACGCGGCTGAAATTACAATTGACTTATTGAATAGAGCGTAATTAAACCCGAAAAGGTTAATTATATTATAATATTCCTTTCATTTTCATTGACCTAAATTTTAACATTTTAAATTTTTTGTCTTAGGAAGGGAAACGATGCATACGTGGTCTATTCCTCAATCTGTAAATCTGGTCTGACTGAAAGTGGTTGTATTTAAGTTTAGTTGATGAATCAACGCAAAAAAATTGTATAACCGTATAATCGGTTCCATAGGCTAAAAAAAATATTACGGAATTAAAAATTACGCACACAAAACAGGATGGTAAAGAATGTCTAACCGCATTCTGCATTCTAACCTATCCTTTTCCGACCAAAGAATTGGTATATTGATTTTCGTAAGGAAAAACAAACGGACAAAATTTGACTGTCTTATCAAATCTTGCATACCCTCAAACCCAAATCGCCCAGTTCATGCGGGACTACTGCTAAATAGAATAGTGAACCAAGGATGAATAAAATGGTCAGTGATGATACTATAGTCAATAGCAATAATTCTAGATCCATATATAGCTCGAATTTCATCCTAAGCCAAAAAGGTCCTACATTATACTGCATGAAGACCATTTATTCAATAAATTACGCATATATGGACAAGATCAATATGTGAAATGAAGGTGCATATAATATGCCAACCCTCACTTCATGTACATAGCAAACACAACTTCGATGAATAGAAGTGGTAATTAACGTCAACGTCTCCATTATTGCCGCTGTCCCGATTAATGCTACTTTCGGCACATTTTCAATTTTATCGATGCAAAATCTTCTTCTTATCGACAAATGTTTCGCATTGATCTAGTGTTTTTTTCTGCCTTCTGTTGTCAAAAACCATAAGTTTTTAGGCTTGGGAAGTATTTTTGACTAAATTACGAAATCTCTCAGAGGCGCTGAAAAATGGTGTGACTCCTATGCTTAAAAATGATCTACACAGGTTATTAACAATATATTTTATTGATAAAAATCTTTAATATGAATCAAATGCAAATTCCAACGCAAAAATATGAGTGGCAATAATTGACACAGTTGAATGGAGCTGTGCGTAAGTTAATACAACTCATTTCCTTAATCTTTCTACCTGCATAATTTTATGTGAAAATATGCTTCCAAAGGTTTGTGTTGGAGCTCATTATCGATAATATTTCTTTTTAATTATGAAAAAATTTGAACATGGAAGATGTCCTGATGTAAGGCCGTTGCCCCACAGCGGATAGGTTCCAGGTTCGATTCCTGATCGGATAGCATGGTGAGATCTAACCATTATTAGTCTTGATCAATCACCGCATGGTCATCATGACTGAAGGCGATGAAAAATAAGCGTTAAGAAAAGAAGAACATGGAGGAAAAAAAGACTGAGAAGAAAGAGAATGAGAGCTCAGAAGCTGAAGATTGCGAACGAGAAAGACAGAGGGAAACCTTCAAGAAAGGGAATTTCAAGGAAATTCATTTATTCATCGTTATAATGAAGAATTCCATTCAACTATAAAAACTAAACATCTGATAATATAATAGACATTTGATGTGTTGATGATGTTTTAATAATTGGCAACGATTGAATTACCCATGACATTATCCTCGGTTCTAGCCGGCATTAATGGGGATGTTATCGGTATACTTATAAAAAGCCAATATACTATATTTTCGTCCCAATCAAGTACTCAAAAATTGAGAATTATTGAATACTAAATTTTTCAATTCATTTTTAAAATTACAATAATAAAAATTTGAAAGAATTTCCCGGATACATTGAATTAAGGTGAGTTAGAGAAAAACCATGAAATTTGCGAGAAACCGCACTTTTTTTCGATCGAATCATGGAACGCTTATTTGAGTGTGCTGAACGAAGATTCAAGAGCGAATAACAATCTAGAAGGTTGGCACAACGGGTTCAAAATGACATTACGAAAAGTAAATGCACCACTGTAAAATTTCATTGATACTTTTTGGATAGTATATCAACTGCGGACGCTCTACTGCACTTTCAAAGGTACGAGCACAGAATACGTCGATGGTAATACACGTTTCTTTGCAGTTGTTACTGCCTGGGGAAAAAAATTCAGTATCTATGAATATCTGCAGGGGATTGTCCACAATATTCGTAAGTGACACTATATCACTTAACAACGAAAATAGTACATTGTGAATCAAGCCGAAAAAACTGTGGTTTTGCAGTCACACGCGTAATAGCAACGCGAGCTACCACGCCTGGGACTGAAACGAGAGTTTCCCGGCGTGGCTCACGTACATTTTTTCGGGCGTGGAGCGCAAACTATGATTATATCTGCATGCCATCATCAATTGAACAAGAAAAGCGTAATGACATATTGATTATTTAATTTATTTTTTTATAGTCAAGAGCAATGCACTTATTGCCAACTTGTGTTTGAACGTATCATCATCAACATAATATGCAAAAAAATGATTATAAACGTCGTACAAATTAGATTTGTTTTTTGATAAATCACAAATATAACATTTTTCAACTCGTTTAGTTATCTTGAGGTGTATTAATAAACTTAAATCATATCGATATCGCATCTTAAAATACAAATCCAATTCCAATTCTTCATCTTTGGAATCATTACATGAGTTTTCACCTTTTTCTCTCAAATTAAAATTTGTGAAAAACATAGATGATCTTATAAATTAAATAAGTATTAGTCGTTAGCTGAGTAGGTTTGAAAAAATATTTTTCTGTTACCAATCAATATAAAAGAATAAAATCAAGACCAATAAAATTTTAGGATGATTACTTGCAGCACTATGTGTGTTTTGCTGCAGTAATCACGTGAGTTACTCTTCCTTTTCATAAATGTTTATGTTACCATAATTATGAATTATGATACCTCTCGAGCTTAACGCATTTATTGATCGTATCTGTCCTTTGGGAATTAATAATTTGCTTGGATTATTATTTAGGTTTGTTATTATTGAACTTGGAGTATTTTTCAAATAGTTGATATCTTCATTTTCTTTGTTTTCACACATTTCGTAATTGCCACGTGTTGACTATCAAGAGATTGCTGTTTCTGGTTGTGTCTTACCAAGGGGATTGAGAAAGTGTGATGTGAAAATGGATTTTTCAAAATTATTTTTTTGCAAATGATTCTCCAACAATGATCCTTTGGGATTATTATTCACATCAGAACTATTCGAGATCGTAATTCCAACATGGATGAGGCTTGGTTGGTGCCATTGGTTGGTTTTGCAATGGTTTCCACTCGCGTTTTTTTAAGAACACAATTTCGAGGCTGTTCTACTGAAGAAGTTGGCAAAGTTGAAATTAACGAGGCAGGTTGAAACTGAGTTGATCCCCTTACTCCTTCGCTGATCTGTCTTTTGCATCTCTTTGACGATGCAATGTATCCTCTTGGCACGGTAGACGAATTCCATCCCTCTGCACGTTGAATATTTGTCATACTAGGACCAAAGTCAGCCAGGCTTCTTGCACCTGTAATTTGCAACATAGTGATATCACGATCCTAGATCAAAAAAAAAGTAATGGATTAGGTATTGGTCCACATTCTGATTGCTAGATTTTCTGTTGTGATAAGCAATGAGGAAATGGTCAGTTGTGACATGCTTCGGTCGCAACTCCATATATTTTTAGTTTTCAACAAAGGGAATCTCAATTGTGGTTTCTCTGGAGTGTCTTCGACATGTTGGATTTTTAGAGAATGAAGTTCGCACTTGCGATAGGTACCCATCACTCCGACAATCGAGATAACCTAAGTGAATAAGAATGTTCATGATGATTTCTTGAAGTCTCTTCATTTTAAGAGATAGAGCAATGACGAACTAACCTTCTTTACTAAGTCATCAAAATGTGGGGCATCCTGGAAAAATTTCTGGATTTGTTCCGGCCTTAAGACTCGTGCTTTCTTTGGTTTCTAGCCGACTGGTTTCTTTTTCAACAGAGCAGTTAACTGTGCGTATTTTTTAATGTCAATATTGTGACGATTAGCCAAAACTTTTTTCAACATCGAGTGTTTTGATCATAACGTATTTGGGCATAATAGGCTCTTCAAAGGAGTGAATAATGTTTTTTTCTTTTCTCCAGGCCATGAATTTGTCGAACCATTGCTCGTACTTCTTAGCTGATATTTTAGGCAGGTGATCGTCAGAAAAAGATTTGGCAAGAGCTAGGATTTCTTGGGGTATATCATTGTCATTATCATTATAGAAATGCTCTACGTAGTTCTCCATGCTTAACATTCAATCAATTTCTATTTTTTCAATGCTCGTGACAACAATTGTAAGGCACCAAGTCAGTTTCACTGAGAGGTTATGATTACTTATCACGACGCGATAGAGTTTAAGACTGCTCCGGGACTGCAGACTCCATGGCCATGAGACCTATACGCGAATCGATCTACGATAGTTGAGAACACGCCGGAGACTGCAAAATATCAGATTGTGATTCTTTTCCAGTCACCGACCGTGTTTTTAGACTGGCCGGATAAACGCCGTTTTGCGATCTCTAGACAGCCAGGATAATGGTATTTGGTGTTTCATGATAGTGGTGTTGGCCGCGCCTAGTCTGAAAAAATATTGTTCGCAACTCGTACAGAATAGTATATTATGCAACACGTGCGTAATACATTTCTTTACTCCTGGGGGGTTTGAAACACGAGCCGAAGGCGAGTTTTACAATCCCACGAGTCGAAATAGTATTTTTCACGCCTAGGACGGAAAAAGGGAATCTGACGAATGCGACTTTATAGTCCGTGTCGGAGACGAGGATTATAACGCGCATGAGTCAGAATCACTTTTTTCGCAGTGGCTATGATGCTATTTTATGTCATTGTGGCCGAAAACGCGTTTTTATCCGAGCGAAGCGAGATTAGAAACGCGTTTTACCGGCCGCAACGACATAAAATATATTACGCACGCGTTTCATACAAAATTTTATGTCATCGCGCCCGGAATCCGCGATTTAACCGAGCGAAGCGAGGTTAGAATCGCCCGATTACGGGCACCAATGGCATAAAGTTCTTTTTGGCATGTGAAATTATACCACACGCCTTCGGCTAGTGCTATAAACCTCCCACACTTCAAAAATGACTTTTCCCTAATACTAATACTTATTCATATCTACTTATCTGCATCAATGTTGTCGCTCAGTGTAGATATAATTGTTTCAATTGAATTGTTCTTTACAGGTGATAATAAGAAGAGTTCAACGATTTCCTCGTCGACCCATGAGCTGATTGATGAGAAACAATCACTGAGGTGAGCCTTGCTGATTTTACATGATTCATTGGTGAGGGTATCGATAATGATTTGATTAGTGCTTTTTATTAGAGAGGCTGTTTGAAAAAGTGACACGTTCGGACTCAATGTATAAATTTCCCTGTTTGGTATAGTTCAAGTACGAAAAATATCCGTTGATAAATCTCTATAATTAATTGTCCCACAATACCCAACCAATCAGTTTATGTAACAAAATGGATCATTGAGGGACGTGGAGATAATTTTTCGAAGAAAATTGGCGGCAAGAAACATAATTAATCCACCGAAATATAGCTTTAGAAGCTGTGAATCGAGGAATAGTTCAAGTGCTTCGATATGCATAAAGACGGTAATTGAATTAAACGATGAATTTCAATGAAACCTTAACGTGATATATATAACGCATATAGAGGATTCATGTAAAAGATCTCTCCTCGTTGCTTTGACTGTAAATATAAAAGAGACTAAACGATACGCATACAACAGTGGATAACTTCTATAAAATAGTATATTGTGCACCATGGGAGGAAAACAGGGCATTCCAACCCGTGTGGGTATTACCGACCCGAGGCGAAGCCGAGGGTGATAACCACGCGGGTTTGAATGTCCTGTTTCCCTTTAGCGGTGCACATTGTTCTTTATGCCATCGGTGCCCGTAATCGCGCGATTCTAACCTCGCTTCGCTCGATTAAATTGTGGATTCCGGGCGCGATGACATAAAATTTTGTATGAAACGCGTGCGTAATATATTTTTCGACTCGTGGGGTTATAAAACTTGCCTTCGGCTCGTGTTACAAATCCCACACGAGTTAAAAAATATATTACGCACGTGTTGCATAATATACTATTCTGTCATGGCTACACGGAAAAGTTCGATTTTTCTTCGTTAATGAAGGGAGGAATGTGGGTTATGTTATCCCGAGGATGCTCAAAAACAATAGAAGTCCGAGGGAGAGAATAGACCACTTTCTTCCCGTCATTTGGGGAGTAAAATCGAACTTTCCGTGTAGGTATGACGGAAACCTATTTTTCTCCCCGGCGGGAGCAAAGTACACACTTCCCTTCCGCTGCGCGGGAGGGAATTCTGACTTTGCTCCTACGCCGGGGAGAAAAATGATGTTCTCAACACGGAAAGTAAAATAAAGAAGGCTGGCCCACGTGCAGAAAGCACGTGCGTAAGCCTTCTTTATTTTACCTCTTACTTTACCTCCCTAGGTGAGAAAAATACTATTTTGACAGTTGACGGGTTTTTCTTAATTTGAAAATTCCAATGATGAGTTTTTTATAAAATTTTTTGAGCTATATGTACAGATGTTAAAGAGCATTTTACGCGTTGAAGAATTTGAGTATTTAAGTATTTAAGTAAGTTTTAAGCATGAAATCCATCGATGTGGCAACAACGCTACTCAGGTTAGGTGAGCTCTCATTACAGTCGTTTACAACATGCATAGAACTGGCACCCGAAAAAGATCATTTTTTGAACGCTATACGAAAATAGAAACATTCGTCATATTTTTCTTCGAACGTGTACATCTTTTTAGTTAGTCTATGCAGAGCACATTTTGAGACGAACATAAAAAAAAGGAAAATTGAATCGGTTAAATAGTTTCTGAGAAATTCGCGAAAAACTTTCCAGAAACAATCACATGATTTCTACAATTTAGTAGCCACGTGGTGCGCGACCGTGGCAGATTCACTGACTTCGCAAATGACATTCTGAATATTATTCTGTGTGCTGTCAATACACCGAATAATCATCCTTATATTCGACAGTGTGTGGTATCTTTTATAGTATTTTTCACGCCTAGGACGGAAAAAGGGAATCTGACGAATGCGACTAGTCCGTGTCGGAGACGAGGATTATAACGCGCATGAGCCAGAATCACTTTTTTCGCCGTGGCTATCAGGCTATTTTATGTCATTGTGGCCGAAAAGTTTTAATCCGAGCGAAGCGAGGTTAAAAACGTGTTATGCTGGCCGCAATGACATAAAAATATATTTAGGCTGCCAGGAGCAACTACCTTTTCTCAAAGGAATACAGTTTCCACACTATACGTCGATACGACAGGCTCGGTCGTTAGGAAGCTGCTTCCCAAGTCGAAGATAGTTTATTATTATTTATTACAAGTATGGTCAATGTGAAGATGAAAATTTTGCCTCTTCTGGAATTTATGACAAATGATCACAGAGCACATTGTGTTAGAGAGTCTTGCAATTTTATCAAATGCTATTAGGAAGAGAATAAAATTTCATGGCCACCCTTTGAATCGATTGTCACAGATTGTTCTTGGACTGGCATTAACGTAATACTGGGCGCCTGAAATTAACTCATTGCTATGGAGTATTTAGAACTTGTTTATAACGAGATTAAATGCGAAACTAAAATGACGCCAAAACCAACAGGTTATGGTTGGCCCAAAGGGGAAAATTGCCAATTCGAAGCAACTTTCGGTTATGGGAGGTTATGGGTGGCAGAACGTGAGGAACTAATCACCCACCGCGAGGCTAGAACCGAAGCAGAAGAGGAGCTCGATAGGCATCTATCAGAGATACAGGCATTGGAAATGCAACTAACAGAGACAGAATTGCGAAAATAATCTGGAACCCCGGTGGAGGCAAGAAAATAAAAAAACGCCTGGAAATTCCTGAAAGACTTTGACATTCTAGTTGTCCAACAGACTTGGTGGGAACAAAAAAGAAGGTAGAGAAAATCAAGAGATTCGATAAAAACTTCTTCTGGAAAGCAAACTCAGCACAACGAAAAAAGACAGAGCGGCGGGGCACACTAGTCGGTATCAGGAAAAACCTCGGGCTAAACTGCGACGCAGAAATATGGAAATACGGGCTAGCCCTGGAAGATCCGACTCTGGAACAAGGCAAGCCCCTGAGAATAACCACAGTATATAACAACGCAGGAAGTATTACAAGTGTCCAAAGACCGCCCCCTACCTAGAATCAGCGGCACTTAATTGGGAAGGAGTCCTGGTGATACGAAACTGGAACTCTTGGACAGGAGTGCATAACAGACTGGATGAATACGAAATGAAGCAATAACACTTGGTGAGAAATTCACAGGACAAAAAGCTGGACGCGCAGGGGAAAAGATTGCTATCGCTATGTGATAAATTCGGCATGATCATCGTGAATAACTGTGTGAAGGGGAACATGGAGGGAATTTCACCCATATTGGGAATAATCCTAATCGGTAGTCGACTTGGTCATGACAAATAAACCGAAAATTAACGAAATAATCAAAAGAATGAAAGGTATCTCAAAATTAAATTCAGACCATACGACGATTGCAATTCAACTGGACACCCAAATCAATTGGATCTACCCTAAAGGACACAATGGAAAACGACCCGAAGCTACAACAACAGGAAAAACTAATGTGAAAGACAACCGACGACGTTGGTCGAATTGGTTAAATCGCTCGGCCGGACGACGAAACCCATGAAGCTCGGGTTCGAGTCCGACTTAGAGTAGGGGAAACCGTCGAAGAGGAGTCCATACACCAAGAATCATCGAGAAATATCATTTCCCGATGAAGCTTGATTGATGGGCGCCCTGTCGACCAAGGTCTTTCATGGTTTTTCTTCGTTACCAACAAAGTCTGTGCATGGCGTACAGCTCCTAGGGTAAATATGACACGGTTGGCGAGGTCGTCGGACCATGGACCATGGTCGTCGGACCAGGAGATCGGGGGTGACCTAGAATTACGTTGGAAGGCAAGGTTCAGCGAGGATTGCCACGAGGCTAGAGTAGATATGTGGAAGTCGTTAAAAAAACATCTGACTGAGGGGAAGGAAGCACCCAAAAAAAGTTACGCAGAGACGGGGACTAAAAGGCGAGAAATCTGCTCCGAAAAAAATGGAACTGGATACAACAAATAAAATGGGAGGTATAGCACAGCAGGAATATGACGAAATGCTGGAAAGCCACGAACAAAGTCAGGCCAAAGAACAGAAAGGCGACTGCGACAGAAATAACGGAGAAAGATAGGTTGCAACACTTCAGCCTGCTGCGAGGGCGGATGCAGAACAGGGCACACTTTATATATACGGCCGCCCTCGCCCCCATAGTATTATCCACCATGAAAACAGGAAGAAATGGATGTGTTGAATCTGGAAATTCCAGAAAGAGAACTCAAAAGATAAGCTTCGGTAAACTATGTAACGACAAAGTCCCAGGAGAGGGTGGAATTAGAGGAGAGTTGCTGAAGGTCCTCCCAAATGAAGGAAAGGCCGAGCTGCTCTAAATAGTAAGAATATGCTGGAACGAGGGGAGCATATCTTACAGCTGGAAAACTGCGAGGATCTACCCGATCCACAAAGCCGGTGATGAGGACCAGGCAAAAAACTACCGAAACATCTCTCTGCTGCACCTAGGCTACAAGGCATTAACAAAAATAATAATTAACTGTCATCTTGAATGAAAAATGAGAAGAAACTTAAAGTCAGCGAAGCACGGTTCCGCCCGCGAAGGGAAACGAGAGACATCTTTCTCCCCAACGCGCTGATCGAAAACAGGCTGAAGAAGAAAAGAAGGAAGTTAGATACTTGTTCCATAGATATCAGAGCAGCCTTCGATCTCGTAGACAGAGAAAATAACTTTGGAATGAAATGAAAAATTTTACTAGTAAAATTTAACTAGTAAAAGCAATATACAAAGAGATATGGAACGTTATAACGACAGGCAACGGAATCTCTGGAAAGTTTAGGACCTGAAAGGGGGTACCACTGAGCCTTGTGCGGTTTGGTATCTTCTTCGGCGACATTGACGACGCCTTGGAGAAATCAAAAACAGGGGGCTCCGTCATTGGAAAGATCAAGATATATGCGCTTAACAATACTGAGGATCTCGCTCTGGTTACAGAAAAGGGACAGAATCTAGCTGGAATGATAAAAGCAATTGAAAAATACACAAAGGAAAACATCATGGAAATCAACTTAGCCAAGACGAAAATTACTATTTCCCGAAAAGGAGGCAAACGAAAGATG